GAAACATTTGTGCTGTTCAGAAAGCAGGGGCGAACTACTGAATGTAAATAGTACAGTAAAACCACACTATAGCTAATACATGGTGCATGTATCTATTACTCAAGATCTGTACATAATTATATGACAAAAGTTGCCAGTTTGTGCAGTTCTGTGGATTCTTTTTAGATGAACAAAAAACTTCTGTTGTGAAGATAGCGGTGGTAGTGATGATGATGATGAAAAGCAGTGTTTTCCTGTTGTGAATATTGATGAGAACCAAAACAAACATTGCCTGGCACATTATCCGATCAGTTTAATCTTCTTTGTGTCCACCCTTCCTTAGAGGACTTGATGACATGCTGTGTTGTGGTTTACAGCTCGTCCTCCATAGCTGCATCTTTCAACACAACATGTCTGATTTGACACTGCTAATTAGTTGCCTTTTATGTCATGCTTCTTAGAGAGCAGTGGGTCCTCCCATGGGGTCCAGAACAATGTACAATGGGGTCAATCTCCAGGGGTTCCCACTACACATCAGCGTATTCATGCAGAACACAAACGATGAAGTAGTTTCACTTTAGTGTTACCATGGATGTTTTAACACATTCCAAAACAGATCATGGAGTTAGTTACATGTCCTGTACAGTGTGTTGCAGAACCAACTCCAGTATTTATGTGTGACAGATTTCATTAGGCAGTTTTATATTCAGTGGTGACATTTCTTTCTAACCGGCCGGCTCTTGGTGCCGCTGTGGAAACTAAAACACTGTTGAAATATGCTGAGCCAACAGCAAAATGCAAGGCCAGTCCCAAGACAAACAGAAGGACATGCCGGTTAATCTAGACTCCAATAGTAACACAGTCAAGCAATAGACTGAAGGACATGCCGGTTAATCTAGACTCCCATAGTAACACAGTCAAGCAATAGACTGAGGGACATGCTGGTTAGACTCCCATAGTAACACAGTCAAGCAATAGACTGAGGGACATGCTGGTTAGACTCCCATAGTAACACAGTCAAGCAATAGACTGAGGGACATGCTGGTTAGACTCCCATAGTAACACAGTCAAGCAATAGACTGAGGGACATGCTGGTTAGACTCCCATAGTAACACAGTCAAGCAATAGACTGAGGGACATGCTGGTTAATCTAGACTCCCATAGTAACACAGTCAAGCAATAGACTGAAAGACAAGCTGATTAGACTCCCATAGTAACACAGTCAAGCAATAGACTGAAGGACAAGCTGGTTAGACTCCCATAGTAACACAGTCAAGCAATAGACTAAAGGACATGCTGGTTAATCTAGACTTCCATAGTAACACAGTCAAGCAGTAGACTGAGGGACATGCTGGTTAGACTCCCATAGTAACACAGTCAAGCAATAGACTGAGGGACATGCTGGTTAATCTAGACTCCCATAGTAACACAGTCAAGCAATAGACTGAGGGACATGCTGGTTAATCTAGACCCCCATAGTAACACAGTCAAGCAATAGACTGAGGGACATGTTGGTTAATCTAGACTCCCATAGTAACACAGTCAAGCAATAGACTGAGGGACATGCTGGTTAGCTGGTTAGACTCCCATAGTAACACAGTCAAGCAATAGACTGAGGGACATGCTGGTTAGCCTCCCATAGTAACACAGTCAAGCAATAGACTGAGGGACATGCTGGTTAGCCTCCCATAGTAACACAGTCAAGCAATAGACTAAAGGACATGCTGGTTAATCTAGACTTCCATAGTAACACAGTCAAGCAATAGACTGAGGGACATGCTGGTTAGCCTCCCATAGTAACACAGTCAAGCAATAGACTGAGGGACATGCTGGTTAGCCTCCCATAGTAACACAGTCAAGCAATAGACTGAGGGACATGCTGGTTAATCTAGACTCCCATAGTAACACAGTCAAGCAATAGACTGAGGGACATGCTGGTTAATCTAGACTCCCATAGTAACACAGTCAAGCAATAGACTGAGGGACATGCTGGTTAATCTAGACTCCCATAGTAACACAGTCAAGCAATAGACTGAGGGACATGCTGGTTAATCTAGACTCCCATAGTAACACAGTCAAGCAATAGTCTGCTGTCTGTATATTTTAGCTGAGAAGCTGTATTATGTTTATATGTGTGTGCTTGACTGTATGTTCTCCTGATTTCTGTGGACCCGCTGAGCTGTTGTAAAATGTGAGAGTCATTGTCAGAGTGATTGTTATCACTATTTTATCTGAGACATCACATTTCTGTTGTGAGTGAATTTGTGTGTAACCTTCAGTTTGCATTCCTGCCATGAATGAATGAATTATGCAACCCTGGAATTTGTTTTTAAATTTCAAATGGGTGAAATGTTTGTGCAATCTAGAGGAGTCTGTTATGAGTGAATTTGTGTGCCACCCGGAGTCTGTTATGAGTGAATTTGTGTGCCACCTGGAGTCTGTTATGAGTGAATTTGTGTGCCACCCGGAGTCTGTTATGAGTGAATTTGTGTGCCACCTGGAGTCTGTTATGAGTGAATTTGTTTGCCACCCGGAGTCTGTTATGAGTGAATTTGTTTGCCACCCGGAGTCTGTTATGAGTGAATTTGTGTGCCACCTGGAGTCTGTTATGAGTGAATTTGTTTGCCACCTGGAGTCTGTTATAAGTGAATTTGTGTGCCATCTTGGGTGTGTGCTTTATTTTTGCCAAGAGTGATTTTGTATGTTTAAAAAGTCTGCAGTGTTTAGCATACAGATGTTCCATATTGTCTAGTACAAGACAAAATATGTGTTACCTAAACTGATGCAAATACTTGACTGGTATAAAATGATTTACCACATTGTGTAAGATAGGCATGAGAAATGTCTGGGCCACACAATGACCGTGAAATAATGTGACCTGATTCTGCCAAAACCATCACAGTTCAGTGTTATATCACATTTAGCTAGCGCATTTTGATGTTGATAATTGTGCATGGGGTCATAAATATTTCTGAATGGTTGCTGGCAGACACCAGGTGTTCATAGGAGTATTTTCTTCTGCATTCATCCTTGACAGAGCAACTGGCACTTTATGATGTGGTTTACAGCTAGGCTGCAGTATTTTTGTCCCAGCACAACTAATGTCAGCAAATCCTTACTACTCGCATTTTACGACCTGCTTTTCAAGTATCAGCAGGTCTGTTCTCGAGCCTCAGAAATAGGGGCCTGTAGAACCCACATAGTTGAAGGGGTATCATAACAGTGTTGACACAAAACACATGTCAACAAACACAGTTCACATAACTGTGCTGCGGTGCCCGAGCAGTGATTGTGTCTGAAACATTCACAGGGGACTTTTAAGGATTAGCCCCTCGGAGTGTTGACTACAATCCCCTAATGACCTTGTACAGATCAGAATGTTGACTACAATCACCTAATGACCTTGTACAGATCAGAATGTTGACTACAATCACCTAAAGACCTTGTACAGATCAGAATGTCATTTAGTTTTGTGATGTACATAGCAGATCTATATTTGATGCCCTCAACTCTTTCAGTCCCAGAGAACGCATCATGTGTTCATAGGTTCCTGCTTAGAAGCTCCATGAATGCAAGATATGCCGACTGTACGTCTTTGTTGACTACCCCTGATGTCCCTTGGACATAAAAGAGTTGAACAATATTTCAAGTTGTACATTAGCTGCAATATTCCCACGTATTTACTGACCACTGATTTGTTACGGTTTGTATTACCAGCGATGATATCCTTATGTTCATATATGCATTCGTCAAATATATGAGTGTCTGTGTACGTGCTGTTTCTGGTCTGTTTAAGTGCTGGATTTTTTGGTTATTTGAGAAACATTGTCGGCATCTGTGGCTTCATCATCATCATCAGTTGCCTTGTTGACCAGCTTTGGTGATCACGCTTCTTCACAACAACTTGTATCAGTTCACGAGCAGACGCCCCTCCATGCCATGACACAATCGAGCTCCCTCTTTTACTCATGGGTATCGTCTTATCCCCGGGGAAATACAGTAACAGTGTTTGGGTAGAAGGTGATTTCCAACATTTGCTCCTGTTAGATTGCCATCTGAATATTCAGAAAGCAATGACAAATTGCTGTTAAAATTGAAGTAAAAACCACAAACAGCCAACAAATGCTGGGTTGTTTGTGACATCTTCAGTGGCATTGGGTCACTGCAGGGCCAAGCAAACAGTGTAGTCAATTGATCCATTAGTGGAACCTTTCAGTATCTAACCCCTTTGAAATGGTTTAAACCCTTTACCCCTGGAAACCTGAGCAAAACTGGTCATCAACTTGTGGGAAATACAAATATATCAAAGGAGTAATTAATAAACATGAGAGCAAACCATTAAATCAGCAGTTCTCAACCTGTAGGTCATGGCCCTTTCACAGGGGTCACCAAAGACCATCGGAAAACACAAATTTATTAAAGTTATGAAGTAGCAATGTATTATTTTGGGAGTCTTAAAACTCGCTTGTTTTATCTTGGCTATTAAGTGTATATTTTTTGTATATGGTACAACTGATCTGATAACATAAACTTTTATACAGTGTACAACTAATTAGTTAGTCTTTCCTCTTGAGCCTAAAGCGGCGCATAGGGCAGAGGTCGTAGCTTTCCATGTCTGGCTGTTTGCTGTCACCTGATTTAGGTCTTGGATATTCATTAGGCCCACAGTTAAGCCTTCCCTGGTGATGGTTCTGAGCAGTCTCTAGTCTTCCCCGTTTTCTTCTCCCTGCCGGTGTCCATACAACTAATCTGGTAACAAAAACTTTCTTTTACATATTACAACTAATCTGATCACAAAAACTTTCTTTTATACAGTACAATGATCTGATAAGAAAAACCTTTCTTTTATACAGTACAATGATCTGATAAGAAAAACCTTTCTTTTATACAGTACAATGATCTAATAAGAAAAGCTGTCTTTTATACCATACAATGATCTGATGAGAAAAACTCAAAACATCATAGCCTTCCTTCTTTTATTTAGTCTCAGCATTTACAATAAAACAACGTTGAGCTGAGCTTTATCGTCTGTTTTTCTTGCCCCCTGGAAAAAGAAAAACATACAACTGATGATAAGGTGCCGCTCACTAAGACATGTCTAATACACACATTTCACTTTTATCTGGTCAGAAGTGGTCCTGATGAGATTTGGTCTCCTCTGTCTCTCTCTCCCTCAGAATTTCCAGAAGTTAAGACAGGCCTGCATACCAATTGATGATTATCATGTGGTCAGCTTCACAGAAGACCGCTCTTATGACAGCAGCCCTCTGGAAGGCCATCTGGTGTCCTGTCAACTTTCTCGCCTCATGAACGTTGTCATGACATTGTGTGTCCACTGTTGTGCTACTCAGCCCCTGCCTCGTCTGCCAGGAGCCACACTCTCCATCCCCGTTCTCATCCAAACTTTTCATATGGCCAAAAGTATTCCAGTTTATGTAAAACAATTCTTTTTATCAGCAAGTCTAACGCAATATTTAAACAGCGGATTACTGTCTGTCCTGTTCTTGGTCCAGGATATTCTAGGAGCCTTTATTGTCTGACCCTCTTTCTCTCTAGCTATAGTCTTAACCTGGCTACCTGGTCCAGGATATTCTAGTAACCTTTATTGTCTGACCCTCTTTCTCTCTAGCTATAGTCTTAACCTGGTTACTTGGTCCAGGATATTCTAGGAACCTTTATTGTCTGACCCTCTTTCTCTCTAGCTATAGTCTTAACCTTATTAATTCCAATAAAACTGCAAATGGTCTGTCCACAGGAGTGGATTCTGACTAGTTTCATGACATCACAAATACAAATTAACAAAGAAATATTGTGAAGTCACCATCAGAAAGATCTATTTAAGGAAGGATAATGCTGGCCAATATGGCCACAACTCTTCTTCCTTAGTGTTTGCCCTTAAACAGGAGGCTGGAACTTTGTGTTGTGGTTTACAGCTAGGCTGTGATATCTGCATCTTTTGGCTCAATACACCTGATTTTAGCTAACTCTTTATTGGTCACAGTGAACTTCATACTTGTTAGGTGAAGATTGATTCTGTTTGCTGCCTAAACTTGGGGTCTGGGAACCCACTCAGGGATGTTACACACCGCTGTTAGTATCTGGGTGAGAGTCACCAACAAAGTCCCCAGGACCCACAATTAACAACTGGAATAAAACAATGTGTCAGATCCTTATACTGAGGTTTTCAGAATTCCCTCCTTGAAAAATGTGCCAATATTTGAATTATTCATTGCTTTGGTATAGTCCGACAAAGACTGCCCATGCCTAATGCAACAGGAATGGGTTTTTTCTCACTCAATATAAAAATTTACTTACGGAAAGACTTGCCCTTGTGTTTCTGAAAGAGAAAATAAAAAACGTAGATGTTAAACAGGAACTGCCTTTGCAAAAGTGAAATCATGGAGACTTTCACAATTCTAATCAGCATCATTATGTGACCTAGGTTTTCTGGGTTAGCCATCATTATCTTGGACCCTATCCAGTATCATTTCTATCTGTCAGCCTATGTCACTTCTACCAGTGATCTTTCCTGTTGTCACAGTGTTCACAGATGGTTCCTTCCTCATCACATGATCAAGAACAGGTTGTGTCTGGCTTGTAGTTATCTATAATGTTCTGTTTTCATGAACACAAAAGTGTGCGTGCGAGTGCTGAACCCCAAATGGTGCTCCAGGACACAGGCATCAATCTGTGGACACCTCATTGTGATCAGGACAGAAACAGGTTCCCCAACCCTGGGCAGCTGTTAGCAATGACATTTCCTTCCAAGTTGGTGTCCCTCTGTCTGAGGGAGGAGGAACCAACAGTCTGCACACAATATAAGGCAGATCTGTAAAATGGAAATGCAAGCACCACCCAAGTCTAGACATGGGTGAAGAAAAAACTTAACTGCCAGAGTTTTTAGCTGGTAAATGCAAAGAAGAATAGACAGAAGTTTAATTATCCCTGAATAAAAAAGATAAAGCGATAACAATGTGTGACTAGAAGATAAAGAATGAACTAAAAGAACATGGCATGTCTGCCTTCTCCAGTACAGAGATCTTCAACAATAACAAGCGAACCTCACCTTATGTGTAACTTTCCTTTTCTTGGTGTGACCACCCTGTGAATCAACAATTAAAGCGAAATTACCTCAGGCACTTGCAGACATTTCTCATTCAGAAAACTTTAATCAGTTAAAATAAAATAAAGTAACAGAGAGAGAGAGAGAGAGAGAGAGTCTGTCTTGTACAAATTTAAGTTGTTTTAAAATCTCTTGGAATAAATCAGTATAAGCAGCAAGTCACTGGCAGAATGTCACTTCTATAAAGGACTGCGGAACCGACAACTATCTCTGGCCAAATCTCCCAATCCCTATCCACGAGGTGTCTTTAATATCATGCGCCCACCACTGTTTGGTCATCTCGTGGGGTGAAGTATGGACAGCTGTGGAAACACCATTGTTTGGTCATCTCGTGTTAGTAGGTCCTTTCAACAGTCTACAAAGCTAGAGCCACAGAGGTAAATTATTCTGTCTGTCGACTTTGCACCAGGGGATTGAATCCCCAACAACAATGAACTATTACATAATATGAAAACATGTGACTGATGTTAATTTCTCTACACTTACCTCTGTGTTGGCATCAAATTCACCAAAGTGATCAAAATCAGCCAGGGAGCCAAGAGCAGACATAGTCCCCATCTTCCTCATGCCAGCCTGACAAGCAACAAGAATTAACAGAGAGGAATAAAACATTGACAGAAGTAAAGAGAACAAACAGAGAGGAATAAAACACTGACAGAAGTAAAGAGAACAAACTGAGAGGAATAAAACACTGACAGAAGTAAAGAGAACAAATTGAGGAACAGAACATTGATAGAAGCAAAGTGAACAAACAGAGGAACAGAACATTGATAGAAGCAAAGTGAACAAACAGAGGAAGAGAACATTGATAAAAGTTAAAGCAAAGTGAACAAACAGAGGAAGAGAACATTGATAAAAGCAAAGTGAACAAACAGAGGAACAGAACATTGATAAAAGTAAAGTGAACAGAACATTGATAAAAGCAAAGTGAACAAACAGAGGAACAGAACATTGATAAAAGTGAAGTGAACAAACAGGAACAGAACATTGATAAAAGTAAAGTGAACAAAGAGAGGAACAGAACGTTGACAGGCAACGAGACAAACCGACAGGACTAACAAGTAAACAGACAGGGCATGGGCGAGAAAACAGGACCCAAAAAAGACATAAATAGAGCGTTTAATATGACACTGAATGAACAGGATAATTTTAGTTTGGCTGAGTTAACAGCAACAGTGTGCACAGGACATGCAACATGATAGTGATTAAACACAGACTCACTGATTCCTTCTTAGACACCGACAGCCTCACAAAATTATTCTCCTCATATCTGTGCAGGAAATAACAGAACTTGGATCATTTATGTGAAAAAGTACAGAGTTGCTAGTTTAAACTTGTGGAAACATATCTCAAGGAGAGTTTTACACACCAGCACCAAACTGGCTATCACATCACCCAGAATAAACAAATATTTAAACATGCATCACATAATGAATGCACTATAAACACAAATAATTTATTTATATACGTTAATGAGCATATAAGAATATTCTCTTTATAAATTTCACCTACCATTTCGTATGACTAATGAAAGCGTGGGGCATGCGTAACATACATATAATTACATAGTATCTGTTTGCGTGTATCTTTATATATACACACACACAAGTGAATCAAATGTAGACAAATAAAGGCTGAAACTATTCACACCTCAAGTATTATTATTTATACATTGTTCGGTGCCCCACACTTTTATTTTTTTCTGAAGAGAACTATGTGATTTTGTATGTCTATTAACGTATATAATAAATTTGTCTTTTTAGTGCAATAATTATGTGATGTGTTGTAAATTAAATCTTTTTTTTTTTGTAATGTTGTTACATAAATGTTATAATTTTCTATTTTAAAGTCATAACTTCACGCACCAACAAATTAATGAACTTAAAAATGACTTCTTTATTTTATGCTACGACATCTTAAAGCTTGTCAGGAAACAGTACAAATCAAAAGCAAAGTCTGCACCAAATAGAAACGAAAAGCAAACTTGACAAAATCTTTAAAAAAGTGCTCAGTCTCTCTCAGCAAGCACTAAAGTGTGGGAAGCTGAAAATCTATCTCTGAAGTGCACAGATTATGAATATGCCACAAGTGACAAAAGTCTGATACCAGTTTGCCAACCGGGGTCGCGACCTGTCACAGGGGACACATAATATAGACAACATCAACTTTATTAACATATCCGATGATGGACTGACAGAGAGAGACAGACAGACAGACAGAGAGAGAGAGACAGGCACAGCCATGATCGCCAAAGTCAGTCCCAGACCAGCTATCTGAAGAAGAAGAAGAAAAAAGGTCAGTCACAACAAGCTCTCAGACTTACTCTAGTTTCTCCTGCATCTTCCTGTTATCTTTGAAACGATGCAGATTTTGAGATTCCTAGATTGAGAAACAAATGGAATCATGTCAATGCACAGAAACATTCATATTCTAAATACTGAGTTCTTCAGTCTTCTAATGTCATACTTTGTATTTTTCTCAGAAATAACCCTCCTGTTACTGCTGATTGTTTCTCAGCTTGCCCACTGAATCTCCATGTTTCATATGCAAGTGCTGAACAGTGCTCTCAAACCAGTGAACATGCATTTGAATTCTCAGGATCTGAATGAACAGAGAGGTGGCAGTCACCAAGTCTAGCCACTGCAGTTTAATTCTCTTGAGAACTGTCTTATATATATCTACTATGACCCCACTTACCTAAGGGATAACAGTTTTATCTAATGTTCCAGTTATGGCACTTGCTGCCACACCCATATCTGACTAGTATCCATATCCTGTATTCACATGTGTCCCAGAGCTTCAACTAGCCTGATGTGGATATTTCTTGGAAAAACCTCAGTAATCTGGTAATTTTAGTTTCAGCTTCATAGCAAACGGGTCACCCCATAGTTGCTCCGCGCCTGTGCCAACGAAAAACACACAGAATGTTTAACACAGTCCCTTGTGGAAAAATTGACAGACTGCTGTCTCAGCATATGCACTAGCATTCATCATCATCATCAGGTGCCTTGCCGACTGGCGTGGGCGATCATGCCTCTCCATAATCTGTGATCTGCAGCATGTATAAGTTCGTTTGCTGACACTCCTCCGTGCCATGCAACAAGATTGTCAAGCATCTTCTCTCGTTGTCTTCCTCTATCCCTTTTTCCACAGATCTTTGCAGTGGTCACAACATGTTCTATTTTCCCCCTTCTTCGCATTAAAAGCATACGGTAGCTATCTGAAGTGCTAACACAAACAATCCAACTTTAGAAATGCAGTTCATCATGGATGGTAGCAGAAGCCACCAACAGATCAGCAGTTGCACATGTGATCAATTTTAATTACACAATGGCACCACCAATATTGCGACATCCAGCATCGTGCCATTTTTTGAATCTACAGTTCACACCACCAGACAAAAAATTCCACATGAAAATGTCTGATCTCAGTAAAGTGATTGTGTGTGCTTTTGTCTGTAGCTGTAACATTATCTGTTCATGTCCCGTGCTGATGAAAGCTTTCTAGCTTCAATGTTCACTTGTCCGTGATTGCAATAATGTGAAGACAACTAGTTCCACTTCTGGTAGGGTATGTTATCTGTTTATGTCCCGTGCTGATGAAAGTTTTCTAGCTTCAATGTTCACTTGTCCGTGATTGCAATAATGTGAAGACAACTAGTTCCACTTGTGGTAGGGTATGTTATCTGTTCATGTCCCGTGCTGATGAAAGTTTTCTAGCTTCAATGTTCACTTGTCTGTGACTGCAATAATGTGAAGACAACTAGTTCTACTTCTGGTAGGGTATGTTATCTGTTCATGTCCCGTGCTGATGAAAGTTTTCTAGCTTCAATGTTCACTTGTCTGTGACTGCAATAATGTGAAGACAACTAGTTCTACTTCTGGTAGGGTATGTTATCTGCCAGGGTGTACAAATATAGCTACTTTGCCCGTAACTCTTCAGGTATCAACCACAAATCAGGCACTTGTTTATCATGGCCTATGAAGAGTTAAAAAGGGCAATAGGTACATTGTTTAACAGTTAGGCTGCGATATCTGCATCTTTCGTCCCCAACATATCTTATTTCAACAAACCTCTGCTTGGTCTACCCACAGACGGGAGTACAGGTTCTAGCAAGCATGTTAATTTTTTATTTTCTAGTCACATCTTTCTATCAACCGTAACAAGTCGGTTGGTTTGTTGTGTTGCTATCACCAGTAAGCTGTGATTTGTAGCCTTTCACCAAAAATATAGGCTTCATTTTTAATTCTTCTCTCCCTCTTCTTTGTTCACCGGCTGTAAGTTCTGTCAGACAGTCCTGGTTGTTCGTCCACTTGGACTCTGGCTTCGTGCCAGGGCCTGAGTTTTGCATGTACATCCGTTTTACTGTCTTACTTGTGTGTATTTGGTTGTCCCTTGCCCCCAATGAGTCAAATCCTACAACGTGCTTGTTGGGGAGGCAGCAGGTCTATTTGTGTTTTACCCACAATGCAGCACCAGAACCTGCATGGAAAGAGATGTTAATGAATCCCTTCTACGTGACGCTTTGAAGGGTAGTGGGTCTAACCACCCCCGCTTCCACAGAACCCACATGTGGAATCATCACTTCTCACTGTCTCTCATGACACTCAGATCCATGTTACCATGTTTTGGCAGACAGTTACAGTATCTGTACACCTTCAAAAAATGAAACAATATAAATGACAATTCTGACCGTTATTTCCACAGGTGCATCTGTAAACTGCTCCCTCATTTCCCGCAGCATGGCAGAACTCAGGGCTCGCTTAGATGTCTTCTCTTGCATCTTTTTTGTGCGTTCCTCTGCAGTTTCATCATCAGCTAAGTCACAAACATTCAATATATTCATCATCAGCTGAAGTCACAAACATACAATGTGTTTATCATCAGATCTACACAACAAATGATGTTTGCTGAGTTTAAAATAGCGTAAAAAGTCGAATAAAAGTAACAAATAGGTTTCTAATTCGTAAGTCACGTCAAAAACATTCAATATCTTCATCGACAGCTGAAGTCACGTCACAAGCATTCAATATCTTTATCATCAGCTGAAGTCACATCACAAACAATCAATATGTTCATCATCAGCTGAAGTCATGTCACAAACAATCAATATGTTCATCATCAGCTGAAGTCACAAACATTCAATGTGTTTATCATCAGCTCTACACAACAAATGATATTTGCTGAGTTTCAAATAGCGTAAAAAAGTCGAATAAAAGTAACAAATGGGTTTCTAATTCATAAGAAATTTAACAAAATACTGAAATCATCCACAACGAAGGTTATGGCCATTTTCATTTAGCCATTCAAATGAAATCAAAATCACTGTATCTGTAGATTTTCATCTGTTGAGGTCGTCAATGTCTTAACTATTTTTTTTATGTGAGTGTTGAGTAGCATCCCTTATTGCCCATATTCTGCAACACCATTGTGCACAAATGTGTCTGTATGTGTTGTGTGTTTTTAGCCACAACTTTTATTTGGTTGTTCGTGTGAGTCCATAAAGGCAGACTAGATCTAACCTGGATAGAGATGTTTTCATGCCATGATCAGCTACAAGAGCAACCACCAAATACTGAAACAACGACCCTTTCCCTCACGGACCTGCTGTTCATATGGTGCCAGTAATATCTTTATAGACCAACTGGTTTTTGATGAGAAAGTTGGTCAGCTGCACACTGGCCACCTCAACCTAGAGCCAAGAACCGCTATTCTGGTTGACGCCCGGTTGGTTAAACCTGACTGCTTGGCGACAGGGTGACAAACTCCTTGTGGTCTGGGTTCACACCCGGGGATAGGCAGAAAAGCCACATTTCTCCCAGATTTACAACATCTATCATGGAATCAAGGCCGAAGGGTTGTGATATCCAAAGTACCAATCCTAAGGGTTAAAAACTCATGGTTTCTGGATATATATATTTTTTTAATATTCTGGTTGACAGGCAAGCATCTAGGGTTGCTGCGGCTTCCATTTAATTATTAGAAATACTGTTAACATTATGATCGATTGACAGCAATCAATTTTAGAAACATTCCATCGACCAACTATAGCAAACAATATTTTTTACTAACAATTAATCTCCTGTAAAGCTTGTATAAATAAAACACTCAACAGATGAGTAAAAAAAAAAAAATAATAATAACAGTGGTTTGCTTTGTAGTGAACTTTATAACATGCCCCCAAAAATGCAACATTTTATTTGTCTTACTAATGCAAGCTTCTACTTCTAGCTTTTCTGGCCACAATGCCACAAATATGGACACACTATACTGCTAGAGAGTTTTACTGATGTTATATTTCCATCTTGTTCTTGGTCTAACTCCTCCACTGTATCCTTCTTGTCATTGGCTATATGCCTCTGGGGCTTCCTTTGCCACACAAAAGAAAATATATTGTTTCTGTCGTTTTATGTCACAGAGATTTATTTTATTATTCACTTTATCTAGATTGTTTAACATTTTCTTGGTAACTAAAGAGTTAAGCTCAACATTGAAGCTGTATTTTGCTATTATATCTGCTAGTATTATTTACTTTTCAGGAGCATAATATAACACGGCCTGGGTATCCAGTTTTGTAGCGCCAGCATTTGTCTTCCAATGGTGGTTCATGCTCTGTCTTATGTGCCTTTAGGCGTGATAAAGATTAATTTTTTTTGTAATGGTTCACACAGCAATGGAGTTGTCATTTATATCTGCCTGCAGCCATGTCAATTGTTGAGCTGTGTGAAACCATGTTAATGAATACTTCCACTTACAGTAGTAGACAGGAGTCGACTTTGGCACCACATAGGTTCTGAACTTGTCTTGTTTTGTGGCATGTGTACTTACAATAATATACCGGAGTTAACTTTGGCACCACATAGGCTTTGAACTTGTCCTGGGCCTTCTCCTTGATGGCTGCATCTTCTTCATCAGATGAGTTCTGGATGGGCTGAGAACGAAGCAAACAAAACTTCAGTAGTAAAAGCCGCTGATGAATCAGATATCAGCGATAGGCCTATACATTTTATACACCAAACAGCAATCATTGGATGATGTGGGCAACATCATATCAAGCACCTTTAATTCGCTGGAAATTACTCGGTGCACATTTTTAGGCTGGATGACAAGGGACAAAGTCAGTTTGGAAAAACTCAGCTTGATGCCGATCTGAACTCTAGACCTTGAAAAAAAAAAGGGGGGGGGGGGGGGAGAAGGGGGGATATGCGCAGCTTCAATTCACAACTGCCCAATAAACTGTTACTAAACAATGAATACTTTCAATACTTGGCCAGTTACCATACACTCATTATTTAGTTGAAGACAAGAGTTATCAGACCCTCTTCTCTAGCAGACAGTTGGTCAATGAACTGATGAAATCCCAAAGTCAGTTTGGACAAACCCAGTTTAGCCAAGGGACAAAGTCCTATAGTATGATTAGATTAACTTCTTTGGACTGAAACATCCAATCAGAACATCTTAAAACAGCTGGATGACAAGGGACAAAGTCAGTTTGGACAAAACCCAGCTGGATGACAAGGGACAAAGTCAGTTTGGACAAACCCAGCTGGATGACAAGGGACAAAGTCAGTTTGGACAAACCCAGCTTGATGACAAGGGACAAAGTCAGTTTGGACAACCCAGCTGGACAAACAAAGTCTTTGGACAAACCCAGCTTGATGACAAGGGACAAAGTCAGTTTGGACAAACCCAACAAGGGACCAAGGTCAGATGACAAGGGACAAATGACAAAGTCAGTTTGGACAAACCCAGCTGGATGACAAGGGACAAAGTCAGTTTGGACAAACCCAGCTGGATGACAAGGGACAAAGTCAGTTTGGACAAACCCAGCTGGATGACAAGGGACAAAGTCAGTTTGGACAAACCCAGCTGGATGACAAGGGACAAAGTCAGTTTGGACAAACCCCAGCTGGATGACAAGGGACAAAGTCAGTTTGGACAAAATGACCCAGCTGGATGACAAGGGACAAACAGTTTGGACAAACCCAGCTGGATGACAAGGGACAAAGTCAGTTTGGACAAACCCAGCTTGATGACAAGGGACAAAGTCAGTTTGGACAAACCCAGCTGGATGACAAGGGACAAAGTCAGTTTGGACAAACCCAGCTGGATGACAAGGGACAAAGTCCGTTTGGACAAACCCAGCTTGATGACAAGGGACAAAGTCCGTTTGGACAAACCCAGCTGGATGACAAGGGACAAAGTCAGTTTGGACAAACCAAGCTGGATGACAAGGGACAAAGTCAGTTTGGACAAACCCAGCTTGATGCCGATCTGAACTCTAGACCTTGAAAAAAAAAAAAAGGGGGGGGGGGGGATATGTGCAGCTTCAATTCACAATCGCCCAAAAAACTTACTAAACAATGAATACTTTCAATACTTGGCCAGTTACTGTACACTCATTAATTAGTTCCAGACAAGAGTTATCAGACCCTCTTCTCTAGCAGACAGTTGGTCAATGAACTGATGAAATCCCAAACCTTTGTTCAGCCAATAGAGTCCTATAGTAGTATTAGATTAACTTCTTTGGACTGAAACATCCAATCAGAACATCTTAACGCTGAGTGACAGAACATATTACCACTGAGTGACATAAATTATCTCACAGCAGACACTGTCAAGAGTAAAAGATCTAGTTCAGTTCCACATCGTCAGATGTGACTGGTGTATGTCAGGCCCAGATGTTTGTTGATCAATCAGCACCCAATGGCTGACAGTAACCTTTCCAGAGCACCATATAGCCAAAATGACCCATCTCATACAAAAACATTCTTGTCTTTGTTACTTGAATACCACAACACACACATTCATAGCGTCAAGATGTGAGGTGATCAACTCCATTTCTCACCAGCTTGCATGTTTTCTAGCCAACAACAGAGATCAAGTATCTATCTGAAATTACCATGTGTACCCATGACTCAGTTTTCAAAACGTTACTGTAACAACAGAAGACAGTGTAACAATTTAGCAGATAAATACAATCTTGTTTTCAGTTGCTGATGCCTTGCCAGCCGTGTTATACTTTCTTTATTTGTATTTCCCTGGCAGTGGCAATTACTATGGAAATAAGAAAACTCAGTTGTTACTTGAATTCTAATTCTGTTTTGTTACATCTGCTTGATAAGTAATTGTTGTCCTCTGTAAGCTTTTACTTTCCACTGACCAAGTTCAACTATGCAGAAAGTCAATGTTCAAATGTCCAGAAAATTAAAACTATAATTTATGTAACATTCCAGACAGCTTTAACTACAACATTTAATCTCAGTTTAAATGTTAGATACTGACCTTTTTTAAAGGATAAAAGGTACTAATTAAAAAAATTCAGAAGAAAAAACGATCTATTGTCAAAACTACAAATGATGTTTTAAGTTTTTAACAACAATCAACTACAATGGAACCTATAAATGATTACTGTTAAAAAAGCGGACCACAAAGTATAATTAAATGCATTGTTGTACTTGCACCACAGCTTACCACATTTGCAAATGCTCCAAAGTTTGCTTTGAACTTGCGAGGGTCGTTTGGATCTGTGAAACACAGAAAATGGAGAGCAACATAAAGTCAGAAAACATTGTCTCCCTTGTCAACAATACAACACACATTGTCTCCCTTGTCAACAATACAACACACATTTTCTCCCTTGTCAACAATATGAACCCTAGAAATGGAGGCTGACACACTGTCTTGTGGGTGAATATGGCTCCTAGCCACAAAGCAATTATTTAACTAGGAATATATATCTTTGACAAAAAATAAATAAGTGTACAAACAGTCCTTCTCTTTCTTCAACATTCTCAGTCCTGGAGATTTACTGCTGCAGATGCCACACACCTCTCATCTCCAAGACTGTCCTCTTTCTTTCAAATATTGAGTCAGCAGTCTGCCTCTACGACATCAGGTTCAAACCGCCATGCTGATAGCTGTAAATGCCCTGAAATGTTGATCAGCCCTCTTGACTGAACATATCTTGTGCTAATATCAAAACAACTTTAAACCGTGATGCATATGTTTCTTGTTTAATTTCTTCAATCTTCTCCACACCAGGTATGTGTGTGTGTGTGTGTGTATATATATATATATATAGTTATAAAATAGAGCATATAATGTGAATACACATGATGGAGTCAATTCTGGTGCCTAAAATGCTGCAGTATACGCACAGTATAAACTACTTCTGAAAGAAATTCTTCCAGGTCTAAAATAAAAGCTTACATCTAGAAAACTCATCATGTCTAGTTTGAGAATAGAAAAGCCATCCGCAGGTTTGAGAATCAGCTGTACAAATGCCGTTATTGCAACTGACACATACAGCAAGCTGAGAAAGGTGGAGACAGGAATGCTCTGTGCAGAGTGGCAAGCATCACTTCAGAGGACCCGGGTAATTAGCGTCCTTTAGATATTTTCTGCAGGTTATGCCGGTGTATTGGGAAATGAACAGGCGGATAGATTGGTCGGTTCTGCACCACTTGGTGGCGAACTGACGTATGACAAGCTAGATGGTATGAGGGCCCTTTGGGAGCACGTGAACAGTGCGGTGGCACTAAAACAGATCATCACAGTCTGAGGAGAATGGCACTGTGGGGAGTTATCAGGGGATCTGACACTAAACACTCAAGGGAAGGGCCACACGAATATACAATCACTGGTGTCATTATGTGCTCCAGGGCCCCATTTTGGATAAAACAAAAACAGACTCCACCCCACCCCCATACAAGGTAACTTATTAGGCTATTTCCTTTAAAGCTGGAGTGTTTCTGCCTGGGAGGCAAGGAACCAACTGTCTGCACACAACAAGGAACCAACAGTCTGCACACAACAAGGAACCAATAGCCTGCACACAACAATGACTGACTGACTTTCTACCCCACTAGGACATCACACAAGCGATAAACACCCGACGACACAAAGTGCCACCATGTGGATGAAGATCACTGTGGAGAGGTCCCAGAAACCGCGTTCAGACAACTGGCCACATTTATGGCCTGCCTATATTGCAGCCCCTGGCAAAAGCCAGAGGGGGCTTCAAATAACAAAAAATTACGTCATAAAAAGGACGTAAGGGGTAATAATATATTTCCCCACACACACAACAAGGAACCAACTGTCTGCACACAACAGGGAACCAACAGTCTACACACAAGTGAGCCAGATCTGTTTTTTTTTTTAAAATGTGTCCAAAAAAAAATCGGGTTGTGTTGTGGAACAAGACTAAAGTCCAGAAGTGGACAGACAACCAGGACTTTCCACAGAGTTTACAGCAGGCAAAGGTAAAAAGAAGACTACAGAATCTCTCCTATCAGGAGACAAAACGAAACAGACAAGTTAATGATCACAAAATGTCATGAAGTAGTTTACCCAGCATTCCCTCCTTGTATGCCGTAACAACTTTGTTGATCTGATATTTTAGCTTGTGTTCCATGGGTCGCATTTTCTCCAACACCTGTCGAGTTACACAGATCATTAACACATCATTTCATGACAAAACACAGAAATATGATATTTTAGCCTGACCATAAAAAACATTACAACATCATTATACATGGGACTGATGAACACAACACTGTTACACGTGGGACTGATGAACACAACACTGTTACACGTGGGACTGATGAACACAACACTGTTACACGTGGGACTGATGAACACAACACTGTTACACGTGGGACTGATGAACACAACACTGTTATGTTACATGTGGGACTGATGAACACAACACTGTTTCACGTGTAAAGATGATTAGAACTTACAGTGCGATTCTCCACAAGCCGGTCAATGCTAGGGTCATCTTTGACAGTCAGGCCGCTGGTCTTTTTGTCCATTAACAGACCCAGGTTTGCCATGTAGCTGGCCATCAGCTGGTTCTTCACATCCAGGAAGCTCATACCCTGTACAACATTCATCAAACAATATGGTATCTAAAGATTTTAATTCTTGAGTGAGCCTCTGGTATATTAGTATTAGTATAAAGTAAAGGCTTTAGCAGAAACATCTAATTATCTTTGTGAGTGTGTGTGTTTTTCCCCTCTGTTGTTATAGCTTGTTTTCAGTGAACTCATTTATAGGTTATCCTCCGAATAACCGGCACAGATTATGGCGGCCAAAAACAGGGCCTCAGTCACATGTCAATTGCGCACTTCAGGCGTCCTAATTTGCGGTTTTCCGGCGACTACCGCCGAGAGTATCCTCCGCGCCGTGGATTGGGACAAAACTAGATGGCTGGGACTCACGAGCAAAGCTGCAGGAGATGCCGGATGCGAAAGCTGCTGCTCCTGAATCCCAGCCATCTAGTTTAGCCCCAATCCAAGCCGCTCGCGCGGCATGAGGGATACTCTCGACACTGGCGGTACTCACCAGAAAACCGCAAATTAGGTCGCTGGAAGTGCGCAACTGACACGTGACTGAGGCTCTGTTAGGGTGTTTTTGCGGCCGCCATAATTATAATATGTGCCCGTTATTTGGAAAATAGCCCATTTATACAAGCTCAACTGCAGTCACCCTTATGTTCTTTACTTTCACACATGCCATGCAATTAGCTAAAGATAACAATATATAAAGTTTAAGCAGGGAACAACAGGAAACCCACAACCTTTTTCTTTCAATTTAATTTTTTTTTTTTTTTATTTGTTACATAAATGAAAAATTGTCTTCCTCTCACCTGGGAATGGACATTGGATGGTCTTTCTTTAATCTTGGCTAGCAGTGACCGCAGGTGCTGGAGACACTCACCGGCGGACTTTTTGATATCTCGTAGAACCGTCAGTGCTTCTGGTAAATCTGTTTCCACTAGGCTCGACATATTTAACACTAATTTGAGTCAGTAGTCAGTATCCTTGTACTTGTACTTTTATACGTATTTACTATTTAATCTCGTGCTCACTTGTTATTCAATAACAGCTTCTTTCTAGCCGGTAATAAATTTCCAGATTACTGTTTACCTCCGACTTCTGCAATAACAATATTATATAACAATTAAGAATTCATATTAAAAATTCAAATTGATTTTAATTTAATTTTGAAAGTGCCATGTGCGGAAACAGTAAGGAAGGAAGGAATAACTTTGTTAGTGGTAATTTTTAAGTTTTCTGAGAAGTAAAATACAGAAATATATTTCTAGCATTTGTTAACAATAGAACAGTCAATAATATTCTATAACTGATTTAAAATAGACACAGGAAGTAACAATATTACTAATATTATTAAGCGTAAGAAATTACTCGACAAAAGCTGCCTTATTTGTGCATCACAACCCAAACTGTCATTAACGGTCCGGTTGTAGTTTTGAAACAACTTCCTCTAGCTCTCCATCTCAGGAGTTTACCTTTGTCTACCAGCCGCCGATCGTCTGGAAGTTGCGGCTTGTGTTCGTTCAGCTGTTGTCTGGACTTGATTTGTTTTCTTTTGCAGGAGATAGATGTTTAACTTTGTGTAAGTTAACGCTAGAATCAGTAATGTTCCTACAGTGCACTCTACTCACACTTCCATTGGTTTATATTGTCTTTAGAATGCAAGGACAGAAAATTACCAGCTGCATCAGGAAAGAATGACCTAAGCCATCCATCCACCGTCCGAAGTTGAAAGAAGAGCCAAGAATGATGATAATAATAATGTCATGATTATCGAAGACATGACGTCTTTCTCTTATTTAAGTTCGCTGAGTTTAAAATGCGTGTTCAGTTATTTAAAAAACAGTTTGATATTTATAGTTTGCCACAACAGCTAAAAATCCATAAAGGAAAGACAAAAATAATGAGAATAAATCGGGCAAAGAGTACAATGATTATCTAGCGACTACAGTTTCGGAAATTTGCTATCTTTTCGACAATTTCCGTTACCATAGAAACCGTTTAAAACTTGTTTCGGAAATGTCGGCTGGGGTTTCAGGATGGGTCCTAATCTCTCATGAAATTTTGCCATTGGTGTGATTTTCACCCACTCTAAATAGCTGAAAACGGCGGGAAGGAACCCGATTAACAGCGCATGTCTACGACAGCCGGACATTCTCTGTTTTTCTGTTAGTCTATCAGTTTGATTGAAAATAGCGGTAAATTCGAGGTTGGCTTTAGGCTTAAACATTATCAGTTGTGGTAATGCTAGTTACAATTGAATTCTCCGTCCAATTTTACATTTGCATATTAAATTTTTTTCCCCGACTCTGGCTGTTTAGATTTACAGTGACATTTTTTAGGTAATCGCATGCGGCTGAGTGAGCTGAGTCTCACTGCCTGCCATCTTGTCCAATGACAGTCCAATGTCAACAAAGCCAATACAGAACTGCGCAGTAGGTTGCGCAGTGAAAAACTTCTTGTTTCTGGGTCACAAGTTTTAGCAGCTGTTTCTTACATCTCATCTCCACAAAAACCTACATATCTCAGCTCAGAAATGACATACAAGCCTAAATGAGGTACCATTGGAAAGAGATTGTTTACAGCTATCTAACTGTGCTGGTTTTATTGGTGCAGAGGGCATTTTAAAAATTTGACTGAAGTACCTAGATTATCCTGCGAATAACGGTCCCAGATGAAATTATTTATCTAGTTACTTTAGCCAGAAACAAGAAGTTTTCTCTGCGCAACCAAACTGCACACTTTCGTTTTGGCTTTGTTTACATTGGACAAGATTCAAGATGGCAGACAAAAATTTTTTCAGACACAGCCACATAATAGCGATTGCCTAAAAAATGTCACTGTAAATCTAAAAAGCCACTGATAAGAAAGAAATTTTATATACAAATGTAAAATTGGACTGATAATTCAATTATAACTAGCATTACCAAGACAAGTAATGTTAAAGTCTAAAGCCAACCTTGAATACTTACTGCTATTTTCAATCAAACTTAATGTAACAGAAAAATAGAGGACGTCCGGCTGTCGTAGACATGCGCTGTTAATCGGGTTCGTTCCCGCCGTTTTCAGCTATTTATAGCTGGTGAAAATCACACCAATCGCAAAATTTCATGAGAGATTAGGACCCATCCCGAAACCAGCCGACATTTCCCAAACAAGTTTCGAACGGTTTCCATGGTAATGGAAATTGCCAAAAGACCGCAAATTGCCAAACACCGTAGTCGCTAATTTATCGAGGCCGTAAATATACCATAACAATTCAACAATGTTAGGCTATCCTCCGAATACCGGTCCCTAATTATCGTGGGGGATACTCTCGGCGGTGATGGTATAGTCCCCGGAAGTGCGCAATTGACACGTGACTGAGGCCCTGTAAGGGTATATTTTCTGCCTCGATAATTTGGGACCGTTATTCGGAAGATAGCCCAATGTTATTAACATGACCTCATTACGTCATTGCTAAAAACATTCAAAAGTTCCCACTCTAAAAATTTAAGGAACGAAAAATGTCAGGGAAGCGACGAAGTCGACTACTTACCGACAATTGAGGGCCTTTATTTGCTAAAATGTTGGCACAGAAGTTGCTAATATTGCCCCCCGAAAATCTGCTTTTTGTGGCTGTGGCGCCGTTGAAACTCTGTCAAATAGGATCTGAACAGGGCGCGGTGACTAGTGCCAGATCGGTAATGCGGAAATGTATAAGCACTCCAAATTTCTGGCCTGTAGGAATACTGGCAAGATTGATACACTGTTCTAAACAAAGGTTAGGACAGGTTTTATTTTATAGGTCTTTGGTGTGGGATAATATCAGAGAATGCCAAGAGTATAAGCTCAACAAAATAAAGAAATGCAATAAATTACTCTGTCAATACTAGCAGTTTTACATCAGATGCTAGGGGAGAGGGGTTCGGTCCTGAAAGAATTGTTTTCAAATAAGCTAAATGCACAGCAGAAGTGGCCACTGTGGCAGTTTAGATAGTTGTTTGCTAAATGCAAATGTAACAAACATCAGAACCCATATTCATTATTATGTGATGGTTGGTATTCACGGAAAGTGAGGCTCTGCAGCACCCTTGTCAAGTTTAAAAAAATTAGCAGCACATGTACCCTTAAGATGGTTTTAAAACTTAGAAAAAGAAAAAAGAAATCATTGCAAATTCAATATTCACTATGAATGCATTTTTTTTAATGATTTGGGGAAGTTTTGTTAACTGTACCCTCAGATCACTTGAAGGCTGCTCCAGTAGCTGTTTGTAATGTAAGCATTCATTGAGAATTCACTGCAGCCTTGCCAATAACATTGTCTTTTGAATACACCTGCCTCCAGAACTGTTCTTGGCTTCCTTCGTGGTATTTCTGTTTTAAACTGCTGTCTTCACTGGTCTCAAGCAGATTTTCACAAATTCTTGATGCCACGACACCCCTAACATACGCTCACTGCACCCTGTTTGAGAACAGCTGGCTGAGAGGTTGGTGAATGCATTTAACAATTTCATGATCCTCAGGTACGAGGGTGTGACTTTTGCAGCAGCTAGTTTATTGTTTACAAAAATTGTTCTTGTGGTTTTGGACAGGGGTGTGAGAGTTGCACTGTGGAGGAGAATGAGGTCTCAAAGTTATATGTGTGACACTGCCATGTTCTGTATAATATCCTCTTTATCATAATGAGATATCTTGTACCACAAACAATCTGTATGTTCATAGTTTACTTTGTACCACAAACAATCTGTATGTTCATAGTTTACTTTGTACCACAAACAATCTGTATGTTCATAGTTTACTTTGTACCACTAACAATCTGTATGTTCATAGTTTACTTTGTACCACTAACAATCTGTATGTTCATAGTTTACTGACTCACCTAATGAATTATTTATTTTATTTTGCATGGCATATTATCCTGTTTATTATAATCTGTTTTTATCCTCTACAGTTAGTAGGCGTGTGATGATTGTATCCTGAGATATCAGCCAAGTCGAACTTACCACATTATCAGCCATGACAGAAGTGCATATTCCCAAAGGTCAAGCTGTGACCCCAGCATCATTACCAAGCATTGCTTGGTATGAGTTCCTTTTGAATGAGAAATTGCTGAAGGAGCATCTCAGTCAGGAGAATCCAGGTAAGATTTTGTTGTTTCCCTCAGTCAGGAGAATCCAGGTCAGATTTTGTTGTTTCCTTCTGTGTAGTTGTTGCATCAACATGATCATTTCTCGTGCGGCTCATTTCATATGGGCATGGCTGACTGATCATCTGAGTCTTGGATAAAGTCTGAGTCCTTGTCCTTCTGCTTCTTCTTTATGTTCACTGGCTGTAAACAAGTGCAAAGTCCTGTCTGTTTTTCCACTTCGGTCTAGGCTTTGGTCATGTTCCAGGATTTACTTTTGTGTGCATCAGTTTTGCAGAGCTAGCTTATTTCTGTGCAGACTGTTGATTCCTTGCCTCTCAAGCATTTACGCTCCAACATTGAAGAAAAGGCTGTCGGTCCTGTCTGGTTTATTTCTGTGCAGGCTGTTGGTTCCTTGCCTCTCAAGCAGATACGCTCCAACATTGAAGAAAATGCTGCCGGTCCTGTCTGGCTTATTGCAGTGCAGGCTGTTGGTTCCTTGCCTCTCAAGCAGATACGCTCCAACATTGAAGAAAAGGCTGCCGGTCCTGTCTGTGGATTAGGAGCAAACTGCATCTATATGAATCAACAAGTATTGAAGTATCTGTATCTGTTTCCCAGTATTGTTGGGGAAATATTGTCAACAAGTATTGAAGTATCTGTAGCTGTTTGCCCGTGTTGTTGGGGAAATATTGTCAACAAGTATTGAAGTATCTGTAGCTGTTTCCCAGTGTTGTTGGGGAAATATTGTCAACAAGTATTGAAGTATCTGTAGCTGTTTCCCCGTGTTGTTGGGGAAATATTGTCAACAAGTATTGAAGTATCTGTAGCTGTTTCCCAGTATTGTTGGGGAAATATTGTCAACAACTATTGAAGTATCTGTAGCTGTTTCCCAGTATTGTTGGGGAAATATTGTCAACAAGTATTGAAGTATCTGTAGCTGTTTCCCCGTGTTGTTGGGGAAATATTGTCAACGAGTATTGAAGTATCTGTAGCTGTTTCCCCGTGTTGTTGGGGAAATATTGTCAACGAGTATTGAAGTATCTGTAGCTGTGTCCCAGTATTGTTGGGGAAATATTGTCAACAAGTATTGAAGTATCTGTAGCTGTTTCCCAGTATTGTTGGGGAAATATTGTCAACAAGTATTGAAGTATCTGTAGCTGTGTTCCAGTATTTTTGGGGAAATATTGTCAACAAGTATTGAAGTATCTGTAGCTGTTTCCCAGTATTGTTGGGGAAATATTGTCAACAAGTATTGAAGTATCTGTAGCTGTGTTCCAGTATTTTTGGGGAAATATTGTCAACAAGTATTGAAGTATCTGTAGCTGTTTCCCAGTATTGTTGGGGAAATATTGTCAACAAGTATTGAAGTATCTGTAGCTGTTTCCCCGTGTTGTTGGGGAAATATAGTCAACAAGTATTGAAGTATCTGTAGCTGTTTCCCAGTATTGTTGGGGAAATATTGTCAACAAGTATTGAAGTATCTGTAGCTGTTTCCGAGTATTGTTGGGGAAATATTGTCAACAAGTATTGAAGTATCTGTAGCTGTGTCCCAGTATAGTTGGGGAAATATTGTCAACAAGTATTGAAGTATCTGTAGCTGTTTCCCCGTGTTGTTGGGGAAATATTGTCAACAAGTATTGAAGTATCTGTAGCTGTTTCCCAGTGTTGTTAGGGAAATATTGTCAACAAGTATTGAAGTATCTGTAGCTGTTTCTCCTTGTTGTTGAGGAAATATTGTCAACAAGTATTGAAGTATCTGTAGCTGTTTCCCCGTGTTGTTGGGGGAATATTGTCAACAAGTATTGAAGTATCTGTAGCTGTTTCCCTGTGTTGTTGGGGAAATATTGTCAACAAGTATTGAAGTATCTGTAGCTGTTTCCCAGTATTGTTGAAGAAATATTGTTGCTTCTTTTAACACTTTCACTTGGAAATGATTTTTTAAATTGGCAGCACCCTAGAGAAGTCTTAGAAAAATCCTTTCAGGGAAAAAAAACTATTTTACACAGGTTACTAATAATTTAATTTTAAAAATATTTATGTACATTAAAAAAAAAAAAAGCTTTTACATGAAATACATTGCCAGTGGTCTAAAAAGGTATCAATATGTTTCATGCCATGACCTCTAACATTAATACTGCAGCAAAATCAGGTCGCTATAGTCTCTTTTAAAAAAAGCTAATTTATTAACAAGAAAATCCCCATAACTATTTTTAGAAAGTATATCCAGACCTCTGAAACATTGCACAGGCACAAACAGAACATTAATAAACTATGCATTGTGAGAACATAAAGGTTGATTTTTCTGCATTTATGCCAAATTTATCACAACCAGTCATGAGATTTAGGCTGCTAGAGGTACAAGGGTTAATCATGAATGTAGTGATTGTTTTTTTTTTTTTTTTATACTGTTTCTTGCAGATCCCACTCCTTGCCAGTTGATTATACAGTTCCTTCAGCAAGCAGAGGTAGAGATGGCAGCGGTCATTCAAGCTGCCAATGAGAAGAAAGTTCCAGGACTGCCAGGGGCAGTTTCTATACCTTTGAATAAAGTGGAAGAAGGTATATGTGTAAATCATGACATAGGGCACAGGTGGTATGTGTTAAAGACATACATAGGTGGGTCAAGTGAGGGGTGACGGGTGTTTGTAGGACATGTAAGGGGAATGGAGTGTAATTATGCCATGTAACAAGAAGGTTATATTTGTAATCATGTAATGAGAAGATTGTGTTGGTATGCTGTGGTTCTGGGAGGGCAAATTGAAATGAATTTTTAAGGTGTGTAGAATGTGTCTGGTGGGAGAAGAAATTGTTTGCCAGATGTATATGTCTATTCTTTATAACACAGTTGCAGTTAGAGTGAACTAAATGTTGACCATATTTTAAGTCAATTTTACCACTTCTGAAGATATGGGAAACCAGCACCACAGAGTGAATATACCAGAGCCCTGACTCTGGTGACTCACTGTCATGTACTGATAGCTAGATGTAAGTACATAATGTAGTAAACCAGAGTACTGACTCAGTGTCATGTACTGATAGCTAGATGTAAGTACATGATGTAGTAAGTCAGAGCCCTGACTCAGTGTCATGTACTGATAGCTAGATGTAAGTACATGATGTAGTAAGTCTGAGCCCTGACTCATGTCATGTACTGATAGCTAGATGTAAGTACATGATGTAGTAAGTCAAAGCCCTGACTCAGTGTCATGTACTGATAGCTAGATGTAAGTACATCATGTAGTAAACCAGAGCCCTGACTCAGTGTCATGTACTGATAGCTAGATGTAAGTACATAATGTAGTAAACCAGAGCCCTGACTCAGTGTCATGTACTGATAGCTAGATGTAAGTACATCATGTAGTAAACCAGAGCCCTGACAGTGTCATGTACTGATAGCTAGATGTAAGTACATCATGTAGTAAACCAGAGCCCTGACTCAGTGTCATGTACTGATAGCTAGATGTAAGTACATCTTGTCCTGTTTCCACAGAACCTAAGCCAATAGAACCAACAAAAAAGGTGAAGGCCTTACGTCTGCTGGCTGTGAAAGTGGGATGTTACCTCAGGTGGAATCTTGCTGCAATGGAAAAGGGGTGTGTATTGTTACTGTGTTTTCTGGTGGGGAGGAAGGGCCGGGTTGGTTTTGCAATGATCTTCTTGCTATTGTTTGTTAAAAATAAGTAAGTCGATAATTGCAGTTTCAACTTCATAGCAAACAGTTCACTTCATAGTTGCTCCATTCTTATGCCCAAAACAAAACACACACAAAAACATTGCCCACCACTGTCCCTTTTGGGAATGGCAAGTGTGACTGGCAAGACCTGCCCATGTTAAGAACAGTCTTCCACAATGATAGCATGGAATTTGAGGACCATTGTTGTCAACATTTGTGTTTAGTCTGTTACTTCTCAAACACTCAGCTCTCATTCTTTCTGCGTTCATTTCGTGCTTCATTCTCATTCTCTTCCTGGTGTGCCCTCTCCACACAACACTGCCCATAGTATTTTGTTCTAAGTCCAGCGTAATATCTGCATCATTCATGTCCCGCTTGCACACATCTTTATTACTTAGTAGAGGTTGGCCTCCACATCTTCTAACCATCATAAATTTGCCAGAGAGGATGTCCTTAGGGACTTTGCCATCCTTCATTCTTCAGGTGTGACCAAGCCTTCGTAGACTGAGCATTGAGAAACTTTTAACACCTGCTCTTTCCAAAACCTCAGTGTTTGTGATCTTTTCCTGCCACTGAATGCCAAGTATTCTTCTTAGGCATCGCATGTTGAAAGCTGTTAAGCCATTTCTCCTGGTGCAGATAGGTTGACCAAGTTTTCACAGCCACAAAGCAGAGTGCTGGGAACACAAGCCTGACAGACAAGAGTTTTTGTTTTAATCATGAGCTTTCTGTTCTCCCAAACCCTTTTTGTTAATCTGCTCATTGCTGTTGCTGCCTTACCTATCCTGATGTTGATTTCTTGGTCCAGCGATAGTTTTGTTATTCACTGTGGATCCCAGATAGGTAAAATGGTCAGCTGTCTACAGCTCTTCACTGTCAGTGTAGAAACACATCAGTAGTTACATATGCCAATATTCATATAAGGCACAACCAGTTCTTTGGCAACAGGCCACTCACCATTTTCAGAGAGTATCTATATATTTTACATTTGGTTTGAGCATTCTGAATAAATCTGGCTTTTGCTAACATACAATACAGTATATTTTGTCTCTTTGACAGTAATACACTCAAGCTATTTTCATTGTGTCTGTTATCTTCTTAAGTATTTGAAACTCACTCTTCTGGTCCTGAAAGAGTTAAAACGCATTTTATGTTATGGTTCAAAATTAAGTTGCAATATCTGCACCTTTTCGGACGAACACCATGGATTTCAGCGAAACATTATTTCGGCCAGCTACTGAGGGAACTGCATGATGCAACACTGTGAGCTGTGAATGTTATGATGAATGCTTATTGCCTCTGCTTCCGTAGATGTGTGTTGTAAACTGCATATTGGTAAAATTGATGAATGGCACAGAATTAGCTGTGTGCCCTATGCAGTAATGAGTGTGCACCTAATGATTTGTCGTGACTGCTATTTCCGTCAACTAGGACAGCAATCATAGGGACAAACTGAAGGTGTTAGCGCCCCCTGGCAGCTTTTGATGCATGTGAGAACTGTTGGATTTTGTCAGGACTGTCTGTTCGATGGATGTTTCGCATGTGACAGTTGTGAGCGTTTTGTGTGATTTTCATTATCAGCGGAACACTTATGGTGTGTGACAGGTTTGTGATGAAGTTGGAACCCTGACTGACAGGTAAGTACACTAATCACCATGGCTTGCGTGGGAAAGATCTACCCACTACAGACTGTACTTCAGATGAATCAATAATTATAGTTTGCAGGTTTTTTGATGCAGTTTAAATTGTGAAGCAGATAATGTCCATTGATGTCAGTCTGGTATTGGATTGTCCTTAGAGTGCCAATCCCCATACTGCAAGCCTTGTTGATCCAGCTGCTGCAGATTTGTGTTCCTACTGTGATAGACAACATCCATAACCCTGATCTGGAGGTGTCCAGTCTCTCGGACCTGGGCTTGTTTGTGGTTCATCTGTTCCATCGATGGTAAGAGTTTTGTTCAACCTTTCAATTTTTGATTTTCCGCTTTATTGTTTCCCTCACGGGTGTCTAGTCATTAAAAACACACCTGACATTATCATCATGTGCCATAGTTGTCGGCGTAGACAGTCATTGTTTGTCATCTGAGATGATTGCCCGAATCAGAGATCAGGTCTAAAGTCGTAAAGGTTGAGTGGATTGACTTCATTGCCCCATGTTATCCTATATAGCACGGTCTCTCTCCCCATAATGGCTAGGTGTCTGCTGGGGGCATTGCACAAAGCACCAATCCTGTGGCTCCAGTGACGATCTCTGTAAAAAGTGTGCTTATGAACTGAGCGCCGCGCCTGTGAAACAAGCAGACTGCTTGATCGTATTGCAGCAGACACTCAAAGTCTGTAGTTTTGTCCTGTCCATGCTGTGCGGCCAAACTGTTTAGTTATTTATCTCTGTGTCTTCTGTTTTGCTCTTTTCCCATCCACTTTTCAAGTTTATTTTCTGAACTACCTATAGTTTATAGCTTTTTCCTTTTGTTTTTTTTTCCCAAGGATTTTTGCATTTGTTTTGCTGTCTACCTATATCATATTTTTCTGTATTGCTCTTTTCCCATCCACTTTTCAAGTTTATTTTCTGAACTACCTATAGTTTATAGCTTTTTCCTTTTGTTTTTTTTTCCCAAGGATTTTTGCATTTGTTTTGCTGTCTACCTAAATCATATTTTTCTGTATTGCTCAAAAATGACATTTCCATTGACACTAGATGCCTATTGGACCATGCAAAATCCTTGTTGTTGGACATGAACTGCTGCTGCCAACACCGCATGGCAAGATCTGAAGCAGTACATTGTATCTAAATAGTCCTACTGCTTTGACAGTAACCAGGCCAGCCTTATATTCAGTTAGATAGCATACCTTGGGTCACTTTAAACTGAGACCCTTTCCAGGCCAGTGGGTCAGATGGTCCTAGATCTGTAATGTTAAAGACCAGGTCATCGCTGTGTGGTCAACATTTTCTCAGCCGCCTTTACTTTCCAAGACACTTCTAGCTCACGCATGAAACTAAGTGGCCCTGGACCCCCCCCCCCCCTATCAGTAATACAAATATCAGTGTATGCTTGTAGGCTGATATCTGGTTTTTCTGGTGATTTCAAGTTGAGCAAGTTTATTGGTAGTTTGTCTTCATCAATCTCTGCAGGTGTGTCCGCAGTGTTGTTCGTGACAGTTTTCCCACCAAGCCTGTCAAGCAAGCTTTTGTACCAGTGTAAGTTCATGCCAGTTAAGCTTTTCTTTTAATCAATGTTCAGTTCATGTTGGGGGGGGGGGGGGTAGAAGTTCAAGCCTGATGTCTGTTTTATCTGTAGTTTTGTGTCAGATAAGCCATTTTCTTTGTGTAAATGCCTGCTGGATAAGTTCTTTTGTCAGTGTAAATTTATGTCATATATGCACTTATGTCAGTGAAAATTCATATAAGATTCACTGTTTTACGGTGTAAGTTGAGGTTACATTTTTGGCCGGGGGAAACATAGGGTTGAAAAAAAGGACAAATACAGATATGTGGAGACAAGAGCCAAGAAAAACGAATACTGGCTATATGTGGGAAACATAGAAGGCCAAGAAAAAAGACAAGGAAAAAGACAAGAAGGCCAAGAAAAAAAGACAACTTTGACAACATAGAAGGCCAAGAAAAAAGACAAGGACAACTTTGACAACAATAAGCGATTAGATCAAGACAACTTTTATCTAAGAACAAGAAACTTTTCGGACGCTGATTAAAATGTAATAAGTATACTGTCATGAGACAGGACAAAAGCTTAGATTAAACAGGAACAGAATAAAATTTTGAAATGTTTTTGAAGAATAAAAATTGGAGGACGGGTCTCCCTTGGATGCCACAAACACTCTTATCACAGCACGGAGGGCAGAGTGAGATTACTAGGTACATTCTGGTTTCTGATGCCAAGATGGACAAGTGGAAAGATCAGTCAGTCCTCAGAGATTTACTGGCGTCAACTCCACTAGATGGTCAGCACGTTATGGTTAATGATCACTGCATGGTCCCATCTATGATGAAATCAGATGTCAAGCATGGTAACACACCTGTTACCTTACAAATCGGCATAAGATATAAGAAGATGGTGTTGCGATATTGGTTGGTCTCACAAGTTGACGGTTGACTGGAAAGCTTGACTAGTGCCTCGACTCTCTTTGGATTTTATGGCATCCGGTAATCAACAAGGCAATATACATGAGCAGCCATCACCGGACATACCTGGCTAATCACACACACACGTCTGGCTCTCCATAAGTGCTCAGAGGTCACTGTTGGGCTAGTCTGGACCATTAAGGTTGACTTTGTCCCCCAGGAGACTTTACAGTTCTCTAGAGTGAGTGCAAGAGTTAGTCGGACCTTTCTACTGATTCAGTCCCCGAACAAGTTTTTCAGCGAAAGCAAGTTAGAACACCTACCTGTCTCTATCCCTTTAGATCTCTATCTTACCATTTAGAAGATAAAACAGATAAGATAGATAGTTAAGACATAATAGGAGTGCAGATGCCTCAAACTTTTCCATGCTCAAGGTTTGTTTCGATTGCATCCTCTCCTAGCAACAAGGGATGTGATGTCATGTCTCATCAACATAGCGACACCTATTCTTCTTACCGTTATTTGACTTACCAAGTCAGAACCATTATCTCGGATCATACAAGTTCATCAAGACTTCATTTACACTCCAGACAAGCGGATTTATTGATCCGAATAGGTCTAGAATGCAGGCTAGAAAGATTTAAGAAGAAATACTTTCTGAAAGTGCATTCAACCCCTCTGCCCTCATGTTGAAAGCGATAGTGATCAGAAAGATTTGGTGTTATCATTACTTTTTCTGGCAAACACACACAGCAATTGAGCACAAATATATATTTATATCCTCCTTTATGAAAACCTCACCCATGCTGATGAAAAATATCTGGCAGAACAGACTTTCATCAATAACAGTCAAATGGCCACAGGCCGATACGCATCTGCACACTTTAACAGTCTAGGCAAAAGTGACGTAGAGAATGTTATTTCTTAACTTCAACTGTTGGACTTTAACAGTCTAGGCAAAAGTGACGTAGAGAATGTTATTTCTTAACTTCAACTGTTGGACTTTAACAGTCTAGGCAAAAGTGACGTAGAGAATGTTATTTTCGTAACCTTCAACTGTTGGCTTTAACAGTCTAGGCAAAAGTGACGTAGAGAATGTTATTTCTTAACTTCAACTGTTGGACTTTAACAGTCTAGGCAAAAGTGACGTAGAGAATGTTATTTCGTAACTTCAACTGTTGGACTTTAACAGTCTAGGCAAAAGTGACGTAGAGAATGTTATTTCTTAACTTCAACTGTTGGGCTTTAACAGTCTAGGCAAAAGTGACGTAGAGAATGTTATTTCTTAACTTCAACTGTTGGGCTTTAACAGTCTAGGCAAAAGTGACGTAGAGAATGTTATTTCTTAACTTCAACTGTTGGACTTTAAACAGTCTAGGCAAAAGTGACGTAGAGAATGTTATTTCTTAACTTCGAACTGTTGGCTTTAACAGTCTAGGCAAAAAGTGACGTAGAGAATGTTATTTCTTTAACTTCAACTGTTGGGCTTAACAGTCTAGGCAAAAGTGACGTAGAGAATGTTATTTCTTAACTTCAACTGTTGACTTTAACAGTCTAGGCAAAAGTGACGTAGAGAATGTTATTTCTTAACTTCAACTGTTGGGCTTTAACAGTCTAGGCAAAAGTGACGTAGAGAATGTTATTTCTTAACTTCAACTGTTGGACTTTAACAGTCTAGGCAAAAGTGACGTAGAGAATGTTATTTCTTAACTTCAACCTGTTGGGCTTTTAACAGTCTAGGCAAAAGTGACGTAGAGAATGTTATTTCGTAACTTCAACTGTTGGGCTTTAACAGTCTAGGCAAAAGTGACGTAGAGAATGTTATTTCTTAACTTCAACTGTTGGACTTTAACAGTCTAGGCAAAAGTGACGTAGAGAATGTTATTCTTAACTTCAACTGTTGGACTTTAACCAGTCTAGGCAAAAGTGACGTAGAGAATGTTATTTCTTAACTTCAAGAAAGTTTGGACTTTAACAGTCTAGGCAAAGTGACGTAGAGAATGTTATTTCGTAACTTCAACTGTTGGGCTTTACAGTCTAGGCAAAAGTGACGTTAGAGAATGTTTATTTCGTAACTTCAACTGTTGGACTTTAACAGTCTAGGCAAAAAGTGACGTAGGAGAAGTTATTTCTTAACTTCAACTGTTGGACTTTAACAGTCAAGCAAAAGTGACGTAGAGAATGTTATTTCGTAACTTCAACTGTTTGGACTTTAACAGTCTAAGCAAAAGTGACGTAGATAGAGAATGTTATTTCCGTAACTTCAACTGTTTGGGCTTTAACAGTCTAGCAAAAAGTGACGTAGAGAATGTTATTTCGTAACTTCAACTGTTGGACTTTAACAGTCTAGGCAAAAGTGACGTAGAGAATGTTATTTGGTAACTTCAACTGTTGGACTTTAACAGTCTAGGCAAAAGTGACGTAGAGAATGTTATTTCGTAACTTCAAACTGTTGGGACTTTAACAGTCTAGGCAAAAAGTGACGTAGAGAATGTTATTTCGTAACTTCAACTGTTGGGCTTTAAACAGTCTAGGCAAAAGTGACGTAGAGAATGTTCATTTGAGTAACTTCAACTGTTGGGCTTTAACAGTCTAGGCAAAAGTGACGTAGAGAATGTTATTTCTTAACTTCAACTGTTGGACTTTAACAGTCTAGGCAAAAGTGACGTAGAGAATGTTATTTCTTACTTCAAACTGTTGGACTTTAACAGTCCTAGGCAAAAGTGACGTAGAGAATGTTATTCTTAACTTCAACTGTTGGCTTTAACAGTCTAGGCAAAAGTGACGTAGAGAATGTTATTTCTTAACTTCAAACTGTTGGGCTTTAACAGTCTAGGCAAAGTGACGTAGAGAATGTTATTTCTTAACTTCAACTGTTGGACTTTAACAGTCTAGGCAAAAGTGACGTAGAGAATGTTATTTCTAACTTCAAACTGTTGGGCTTTAACAGTCTAGGCAAAAGTGACGTAGAGAATGTATTTCTTAAACTTCAAACTGTTGGGCTTTAACAGTCTAGGCAAAAGTGACGTAGAGAATGTTATTTTCTTAACTTCAACTGTTGGACTTTAAACAGTCTAGGCAAAAGTGACGTTAGAGAATGTTATTTCTTAACTTCAACTGTTGGGCTTTAAACAGTCTAGGCAAAAAGTGACGTAGAGAATGTTATTTCTTAACTTCAACTGTTGGACTTTAACAGTCTAGGCAAAAGTGACGTTAGAGAATGTTATTTCTTAACTTCAACTGTTGGGCTTTAACAGTCTAGGCAAAAGTGACCGTAGAGAATGTTATTTCTAACTTCAACTGTTGGGCTTTAACAGTCTAGGCAAAAAAAGTGACGTAGAGAATGTTATTTCGTAACTTCAACTGTTGGGCTTTAACAGTCTAGGCAAAAGTGACGTAGAGAATGTTATTTGGTAACTTCAACTGTTGGGGCTTTAACAGTCTAGGCAAAAGTGACGTAGAGAATGTTATTTCTTAACTTCAAACTGTTGGACTTTAACAGTCTAGGCAAAAGTGACGTAGAGAATGTTATTTCTTAACTTCAACTGTTGGACTTTAACAGTCTAGGCAAAAAAGTGACGTAGAGAATGTTATTTGGTAACTTTCAACTGTTGGACTTTAACAGTCTAGGCAAAAGTGACGTAGAGAATGTTATTTGGTAACTTCAACTGTTGGACTTTAACAGTCTAGGCAAAAGTGACGTAGAGAATGTTATTTCTTAACTTCAACTGTTGGACTTTAACAGTCTAGGCAAAAGTGACGTAGAGAATGTTATTTGGTAACTTCAACTGTTGGACTTTAACAGTCTAGGCAAAAGTGACGTAGAGAATGTTATTTGGTAACTTCAACTGTTGGACTTTAACAGTCTAGGCAAAAGTGACGTAGAGAATGTTATTTCTTAACTTCAACTGTTGGACTTTAACAGTCTAGGCAAAAGTGACGTAGAGAATGTTATTTCTTAACTTCAACTGTTGGACTTTAACAGTCTAGGCAAAAGTGACGTAGAGAATGTTATTTCTTAACTTCAACTGTTGGACTTTAACAGTCTAGGCAAAAGTGACGTAGAGAATGTTATTTGGTAACTTCAACTGTTGGACTTTAACAGTCTAGGCAAAAGTGACGTAGAGAATGTTATTTGGTAACTTCAACTGTTGGACTTTAACAGTCTAGGCAAAAGTGACGTAGAGAATGTTATTTCTTAACTTCAACTGTTGGACTTTAACAGTCTAGGCAAAAGTGACGTAGAGAATGTTATTTCTTAACTTCAACTGTTGGGCTTTAACAGTCTAGGCAAAAGTGACGTAGAGAATGTTATTTCTTAACTTCAACTGTTGGACTTTAACAGTCTAGGCAAAAGTGACGTAGAGAATGTTATTTGGTAACTTCAACTGTTGGACTTTAACAGTCTAGGCAAAAGTGACGTAGAGAATGTTATTTGGTAACTTCAACTGTTGGACTTTAACAGTCTAGGCAAAAGTGACGTAGAGAATGTTATTTGGTAACTTCAACTGTTGGGCAATGATATGGCTCAAGCTTAGCAGTGAAGCGGTCAAAACAGTCAGTTTCAACAGACGGGGAAAACTTATCGTATAATATACACTGACACTGTTCGTCAAGAAGGATTACATTAGAAGTGATTTGCATATATTTTCAACATCTGGACCCCCAAATAACAAAAGAACTATTTACACACAGACGGACCATCCGAGATATCAATACATTAATTTGCATGGTGGTGTCCAGAATGTAGACAAGTCTATTATGGCAGGGGAGTTGAGGCTGTTACAGGACAACAAGCAATATCAGTGTCAACAATATATCAGATGGCAGGAGAGTTGATGCTGTTACAGGACAACTAGCAATATCAGTGTCAACAATATATCAGATGGCAGGGGAGTTGATGCTGTTACATGACAACAAGCAATATCAGTGTCAACAATATATCAGATGGCAGGAGTGTTGATGCTGTTACATGACAACAAGCAATATCAGTGTCAACAATATATCAGATGGCAGGAGTGTTGATGCTGTTACATGACAACAAGCAATATCAGTGTCAACATTATATCAGATGGCAGGGAAAATTGCAGAGTGATCAGCTGTGTCTTCTCAAGACTGGACACCTCAGGAAGAGGTTTCTCTAAAATAAGCATTGGTCTGTGTGTTAGTTATTTGGTCGAGCTCTCATTCATGAGACATGTTATTGTATGTGCTGACCATGTACTCATTATGTCAACTGACATTTCACCTGGATATTGTTGATCCCCAGACCTGGCCAGCTGGATCCAAACATTGTGATGGCACAAGCCACAGACACCATTATCAGGAAGGTATCATTCTGTCTGCTGTATGCTCGCTTTAAAAATAGAACAATTTATGTAATAAGTCACCACTTATTCTCTGTAATTGCTCATAACTTATTGTCTGTAATTGCTCACCACCTATTGTCTGTAATTTCTCACCACTTATTGTCTGCAATTGCTCATAACTTATTGTCTGTAATCGCTAAACACTTATTGTCTGTAATTGCTCATAACTTATTGTCTATAATTGCTCATAACGTATTGTCTGTAATTGCTCAATCCCTATTGTCTGGATTTGCTCACCCCCTATTGTCTGTAATTGCTCAACACTTATTGTCTGTAATTGCTAAACACTTATTGTCTGTAATTGCTAAACACCTATTTTCTGTAATTGCTCACCACCCACTGTCTGTAATTGCTCACCACCTATTGTCTGTAATTGCTAACACTTATTGTCTGTAATTGCTAACACTTATTGTCTGTAATTGCTAACACTTATTGTCTGTAATTGCTCACCACCTATTGTCTGTAATTGCTAAAAACTCATTGCTAACACTTATTGTCTGTAATTGCTAAACACTTATTGTCTGTAGTTGCTAAACACTTATTGTCTGTAATTGCTAATCTTTATTGTCTGTAATTGCTAACACTTATTGTCTGTAATTGCTAACCACCTATTGTCTGTAATTGCTCAATCAATTATTGTCTGTAATTGCTAACACTTATTGTCTGTAATTGCTCACCACCTATTGTCTGTAATTGCTCACCACCTATTGTCTGTAATTGCTTACCACCTATTATCTGTAATTGCTCACACCCTATTGTCTGTAATTGCTCACCACTTATTGTCTGTAATTGCTCACCCCTATTGTCTGTAATTGCTAAACACTCATTGTCTGTAATTGCTTTCAGTTTAAGGAAGAGCTGCCAGCTTCCATGATCTTTCTGGAGAATTGCCTGCTGGCTCTAGAGACGGACCACGGTAGTGCTAGCATGCCGACTGCAGACTGCTTCGGGATGCCCGGGGAGGAATCAGAGCCTCAATTGTTATGGAATAATACTTCTAACGTGTCAGCGGAAGAAATCACATCCCAGGTACTGTCTTTTGACTCACGGTAACAGTAACATTCATCATCTACAGAGTTCTGTCTTAAGTGTGTTTGACTCATGGTAACTGAAACATTCATCATCTACAGAGTTCTGTCTTAGGTGTGTTTGATTCACTGTAACTGAAACATTCATGATTTTCTACACCAGAGTTGAACTTTTTTGTCATTTGGACACAGACACAAAAAATGCTGTATTTAATCAGACATTTAGTTGTGGTTTGTCTTACCAAAGCCAGAGCTGGGGATATTATGGGCCAGGTGTGCCCCCATCCCCCCTCTTCTTTCCCCCCTACTTGTTGATATAGTATTTCCGTGAGTTATTATACATTTTTTCATAATCTGTTTAAACCTGTCACTTTTTATTTATTCCCTCAGATCTGCTTTGATCTCGGAGCTTTATATTTTTTCAAAGGGGATTACAGGAAAGCCTTTGAAAAATTCCGGGTGTGCAAGCAGCTGAAAAGTCAGGTAACACGGATAGATCTGTAGTAACTTTACAAGTTTTGTGTGTGTTTTTATTGTTGTTGTTTGCTGGCAGCGGCAAGAGAACTTGTTCTGGTCTGAATGGCTCTAGCTCAGCATTAGTTAGTTGTAAGTTCATTTCCGTTAAAAAAAGGCTGAATACATTGGAGTATGACATTAGGACAATTGTGGGTTCATTTTTAGCTACAGGACCAAGTATACTTTGGAATGGGACATTAGGACAATTGTGGGTTCATTTCTAGCTGCAGGACCAAGTATACTTTGAAATGTGACATTAGGACAATTGTGGGTTCATTTCTAGCTACAGGACCAAGTATACTTTGGAATGTGACATTAGGACAATTGTGGGTTCATTTCTAGCTGCAGGACCAAGTATACTTTGGAATGTGACATTAGGACAATTGTGGGTTCATTTCTAGCTACAGGACCAAGTATACTTTGAAATGTGACATTAGGACAATTGTGGGTTCATTTCTAGCTACAGGACCAAGTATACTTTAGAATGTGACATTAGGACAATTGTGGGTTCATTTCTAGCTACAGGACCAAGTATACTTTGGAATGTTAGATTAGTACAATTGTGGGTTTATTTCTAGCTACAGGACCAAGTATACTTTGGAATGTGACATTAGGACAATTGTGGGTTCATTTCTAGCTACAGGACCAAGTATACTTTGGAATGTTACATTAGTACAATTGTGGGTTCATTTCTAGCTACAGGTGTATACTTTGGAATGTGACATTAGTACAATTGTGGGTTCATTTCTAGCTACAGGACCAAGTATACTTTGGAATGTGACATTAGGACAATTGTGGGTTCATTTCTAGCTACAGGACCAAGTATACTTTGGAATGTGACATTAGGACAGTTGTGGGTTCATTTCTAGCTACAGGACCAAGTATACAGTCAAAGAGGGCTTTGGGAAAACCAGATGACTTTAGTATTCTCTGATTAAAGGAGAAATATATTGAAACAAGATTCCCTGTAGCTAGGATTCATTGGGAAAATCCATCCACACATCTTTCATTGATTTGGTGGAGGGGGGGTCACATCATATTAATTTAGTTATCCTGTGTAAACAGCTCTATCATAAATTGTTGTTGACTTCAGCTGACAGAAGCTGTGTATTGTTGGGTTGATGAGAACCGTTTGCGAGGCTACCTCACCAGCTGCAGCTGTCTACTTGGAGTCAGTGCCGATGTCAAGACTCCAAGTCTGTTTGACAGGGCTGAGCTTGCTCGCAAGAAAGAGTTTCAGGTTAGTCAACACCAGGCTGGAGCCTAACATTTGGCCGTCCTAATTGAAGTCTCCTGTAGCTGTCCTTGTTTGTGTTTCTGTTCCTTAGTTTCTGTACTGATACATGACCATGAACCACTTGAGTGAAGTCTCTTGTAGCTGTCCTTGTTTGTGTTTCTGTTCCTTAGTTTCTACACTGATACATGACCATGAACCACTTGAGTGAAGTCTCTTGTAGCTGTCCTTGTTTATGTTTCTGTTCCTTAGTTTCTGTACTGATACATGACCATGAACCACTTGAGTGAAGTCTCTTGTAGCTGTCCTTGCTTGTGTTTCTGTTCCTTAGTTTCTACACTGATACATGACCATGAACCTCTTGAGTGAAGTCTCTTGTAGCTGTCCTTGTTTGTGTTTCTGTTCCTTAGTTTCTGTACTGATACATGACCATGAACCACTTGATTGAAGTCTCTTGTAGCTGTCCTTGTTTGTGTTTCTGTTCCTTAGTTTCTACACTGATACATGACCATGAACCACTTGAGTGAAGTCTCTTGTAGCTGTCCTTGCTTGTGTTTCTGTTCCTTAGTTTCTGTACTGATACATGACCATGAACCTCTTGAGTGAAGTCTCTTGTAGCTGTCCTTGTTTGTGTTTCTGTTCCTTAGTTTCTGTACTGATACATGACCATGAACCACTTGATTGAAGTCTCTTGTAGCTGTCCTTGTTTGTGTTTCTGTTCCTTAGTTTCTACACTGATACATGACCATGAACCACTTGAGTGAAGTCTCTTGTAGCTGTCCTTGTTTGTGTTTCTGTTCCTTAGTTTCTGTACTGATACATGACCATGAACCTCTTGATTGTTGTCTCTTGTAGCTGTCCTTGCTTGTGTTTCTGTTCCTTAGTTTCTGTACTGATACATGACCATGAACCTCTTGAGTGAAGTCTCTTGTAGCTGTCCTTGTTTGTGTTTCTGTTCCTTAGTTTCTGTACTGATACATGACCATGAACCTCTTGAGTGAAGTCTCTTGTAGCTGTCCTTGTTTGTGTTTCTGTTCCTTAGTTTCTGTACTGATACATGACCATGAACCACTTGATTGAATCTGTGTTCACCATTTCCCCCATAAAAATCTTTGTGAAAAATGCTGTTTTCAAAATACTGTTTAAATAAATGCATCATTACAGTTCTCTGAAATTCTGTCCTTGGAGAAGAGAAAAAGCAGGAGAAATGTTGGGGTCTTGTTCACTTTTTATAAAAAATCCAGGAGGTTGAAACCCAAGACCACTGAGCAGACAGGCAAGCCTGACAGCTATTATGTCAGCACCGCCCCCAAAGTCACTATAAAGATGGATTTTCATAATTAGAGTCATTATTTGGTGATTTGATTATATAAGGTGTTTTTTTTTTTTTTAATTTTAATTTTGAATTTGAAGGAAAGCTATTGCTTAATACGAAGCAAAGAAATAACTGCTTTATTTCCCTTTGACTAAGAAAACGGGTTTTGTTGGCACAGCCACAAAGAAGAGAGTTACATCATAACTTTATTATGGTGTCACATTGAAAAGAAAAAATGATTCTTTCGCCCCAGATAATATCTCAAAAACATTTGTTGTAAACATAATCATACCCATCAGGTGTGCACACTGTGTAGTTGCAGCCAGTACCAAAGCTGTTACGTAAGTGTATTAGCCACACCCTGAAACACCATGTCGACAAAAAGTTGGGAAAACTGACTTCCTCTTGACGACGAGGTTAACGTAGAAAGTCTGTCACACTGGCATGTTGTCACCATAATAGTCTTCTCACAGTCCATGCCTTGTGGTGTTGGTCAGCTTGTCTAGTCCATAGCCTTCTATCTCATGTAGTGCCAATCATTTCTGTCACAGTCCATGCCTTGTGGTGTTGGTCAGCTTGTCTAGTCCATAGCCTTCTATCTCATGTAGTGCCAATCATTTCTGTCACAGTCCATGCCTTGTGGTGTTGGTCAGCTTGTCTAGTCCATAGCCTTCTATCTCATGTAGTGCCAATCATTTCTGTCACAGTCCATGCCTTGTGGTGTTGGTCAGCTTGTCTAGTCCATAGCCTTCTATCTCATGTAGTGCCAATCATTTCTGTCACAGTCCATGCCTTGTGGTGTTGGTCAGCTTGTCTAGTCCATAGCCTTCTATCTCATGTAGTGCCAATCATTTCTGTCACAGTCCCTGCCTTGTGGTGTTGGTCAGCTTGTCTAGTCCATAGCCTTCTATCTCATGTAGTGCCAATCATTTCTGTCACAGTCCATGCCTTGTGGTGTGGTCAGCTTGTCTAGTCCATAGCCTTCTATCTCATGTAGTGCCAATCATTTCTGTCACAGTCCATGCCTTGTGGTGTTGGTCAGCTGTCTAGTCCATAGCCTTCTATCTCATGTAGTGCCAATCATTTCTGTCACAGTCCATGCCTTGTGGTGTTGGTCAGCTTGTCTAGTCCATAGCCTTCTATCTCATGTAGTGCCAATCATTTCTGTCACAGTCCATGCCTTGTGGTGTTGGTCAGCTTGTCTAGTCCATAGCCTTCTATCTCATGTAGTGCCAATCATTTCTGTCACAGTCCATGCCTTGTGGAGTTGGTCAGCTTGTCTAGTCCATAGCCTTCTATCTCATGTAGTGCCAATCATTTCTGTCACAGATGTTCCTCCTAGCCATGATGCTAAACTGTCTGTCCTTTTTGTCTTTGTCTCCACCAGCCTCTCTTTCACTCCAACTTTTCTGTTGTAACATTTTATCTCTGAATGGACCCTTTTTGTGATCACCGTACACTACACATCATTGCCAGGGTAACAGCCTGTATTCCTCATCCCTGAATGAAAACATGCTCTCTTGATGACTGATATGTTATTACAATATCACCGTACACTACATTGCTAGGGTAGCAGCCTGTATTCCTCATCCCTGAATGAAATGCTCTCTTGATGACTGATATGTTATTACAATATCACCGTACACTACATTGCTAGGGTAGCAGCCTGTATTCCTCATCCCTGAATGAAATGCTCTCTTGATGACTGATATGTTATTACAATATCACCGTACACTACACATCATTGCCAGGGTAACAGCCTGTATTCCTCATCCCTGAATGAAATCATGCTCTCTTGATGACTGATATTGTATTACAATATCACCGTACACTACACATCATTGCCAGGGTAACAGCCTGTATTCCTCATCCCTGAATGAAATGCTCTCTTGATGACTGATATTGTATTACAATATCACCGTACACTACACATCATTGCCAGGGTAACAGCCTGTATTCCTCATCCCTGAATGAAATGCTCTCTTGATGACTGATATTGTATTACAATATCACCGTACACTACACATCATTGCCAGGGTAACAGCCTGTATTCCTCATCCCTGAATGAAATGCTGTCTTGATGACTGATATGTTATTACAATATCACCGTACACTACACATCATTGCTAGGGTAACAGCCTGTATTCCTCATCCCTGAATGAAAACATACTCTCTTGATGACTGATATGTTATTATTACAATATCACCGTACACTACACATCATTGCCAGGGTAACAGCCTGTATTCCTCATCCCTGAATGAAAACATACTCTCTTGATGACTGATATTTTATGTTATTACAATATCAGGGAATAGTGGAGATTTTGTGTGAGGACAACCTGAGTCAGGAGTTGGACATGTCTTACAGAGGCAACCTACAAGATGAACTGTTGAGACGACGGTAAGGCCTTGTCTGTTTCTTTATTCGATTGTAGTTGTCATATAGTTAGACAGGTAACAGTTTAAACTGAAAAAAGACAGAGAAATTGTGACCAGAAAGAATCATTTGGACCTTGTCATCAGTAGCATTGGACAGGGGACATGATGAAGTTGGACAAAAACTTGAGACTCCCATGACAACGGGCTTTGGGGACAGATGGAAGGGAATAAAGTGACCAGCTTTGTACACAATAGAATACTGTGTATTTCAAAGAGACAGTGTTAAAGTGTCAGAACATGCAATATTTTGGAAAGACTATGAGTATGATAGGCAGTAAATTTAGCAAATTGCTGAAATGTTGCTGTGAGTGTTGCTGAAATGTTGCTGTGAGTGTTCATGAATGAACTTCAGTGTAGCATGGTTGTCAGGAGGAGGCAACCAGTATCAGGTAATTGTGTGCAGCCACAAGTACACAAACTAGGTCATGACACATGGCATTTGGAAATTACTGAGGGTTGTCCATGGGTCAGCAGCCAGCACTGACAACATTGTTGGGGAAAGACAACCTATCCATGGGGTGATGGAATCTGTTACCTGGAGTCAGATCTGTCTGTGAGACATCAACACAAAGAATGCTAATTTGGACAGGCTGACCTCTGAGGTGCATTGGCTGGGCATTCTTCATCTTTGCTCCTGATCCTGTCCTACCTTTCAGCGTCAGGTTTTAAAGAAGCATCTGCTTCCAGCTTGGTATTCACTGCCTCACATATTCCATGTGTCCATCACTTGCAGGGCTGACCTCAGGCTCTGTTTCACTAGGGTCTTGGTGCAAGGCTTTCTGTGGTGCAGTATCTTGTGGTAGCCTTGACACATGTCTGAAACATTTGAATTTTTGCCTCTGAATGTGAGAGTATGGCTTTTTTTTTTTTTTTTTTTTTAACCATTCTGAGCCCTTGAGGTTCACTGCTCCAAATATCAGCCACCTGCTGTGATTTCTGTGATTGGCCTGCTCTTTATGACTGCAAGTTTTCTTTAGGTCTGCTTGTATGTTATCTTTCTTCAACTTTCTTGATTTGCCTCCTGGTCTACTTCCATCCCTCATTCTCCACTCAGTCATGAACTAAGAAGCTCTCTATCTTATGTATGAGTATTTTTCACTACAGTATACTCTTTGTGGGGTTTTATTCTTCCCTGTTTGTTATATTTTATTCAATGATCACAGTTGAAAAGCTTACAATGACTTTCTAAACACTTTCTACAATTTTCTTGAGTTGTAGCATCTGTTATTTCAGAATGTTGGATCTTCATGTCAGTGTGTACCTGTGTAATGTTGTACGAGCTGTCACGGAAGGAAAACCTCTGGTCTCTCCCATTTTGGAAATTGTGAAAAATGCAGATTCAAGTAGACTGGAGTTTCTCACTGAAGTGAGTATGACTTTTATCATGGGAGCAGCTTTGTTTGTGAACTGTTTTTGTGTAACTGTATCCACACTTATCTATACATGTATGTATTTTTGTGTGTTTTTTGTCTGCATGTATGTTTTTATCTGGCTGAAGGCAAAAGATTATTCTCGTGGCTGAGAGGAGAGGAATCAACAGTATACAAATAAGCCAGATCTGTGAAAATTGTTGTGCACACAAAACTCAAGTTCTAGAAGAAGACTGAATCCAGAAGTGGACAAACAGCCCAAACTTTCCGCTGGAGTTTAAACAGCCTGTGAAGAAGAAAATAGAATATTCTACTTGAATGTTTGTAGCCAAGCATGTACATTTTTTTTTTTAAATTGTCTTTGTTTTTCTTTTCTTTCAGCTTCTGAGCCGTGGACTGAAGAATTTATCTGAGTCTCAGAAGTCACATTTGAAGTGTTTTATACTGTAAGTTGTGTTCTTTTCCTGTTAGTCTGATTTCTATATTTCTGTTTTCATAATCTTGGTAGTCTTGTGACCTGGATCAATTTTAGTATCATGCCAGCCATCTTTACTTCCCACATTTTACTGGTATCTAGGTATATCTAGGTTAGGTTGGGTTGACCTGGGCGCTAAGGTCATATTTTTTTTTTTTTTTTTTTAATTCAACCCAGTGCAGATTTAGAAGAACAATATCACAGTTAAGAGACTACCACACACCACTGAGGACATAAGGAAACCTGGAGAAAGGCAGTAAAATCTGGAATAAAGGAGTGTAAAATGACATAGAACACCTTCAGCAAAAAGCAGCAGCCTGGCAACAAAGGAGATCCCTCGTGAATGCTTCATGTGTCAACAGTGACTTGAAGAATATATAAATATAGATTGTCCTGACCAACCAATAACAAGTGTTGTGTGATTCTGCTAGGGTCCTGACCAACCAATAACAAGTGTTGTGTGATTCTGCTAGGGTCCTGACCAACCAATAACAAGTGTTGTGTGATTCTGCTAGGGTCCTGACCAACCAATAACAAGTCTTGTGTGATTCTGCTAGGGTCCTGACCAACCAATAACAAGTCTTGTGTGATTCTGCTAGGGTCCTGACCAACCAATAACAAGTGTTGTGTGATTCTGCTAGGGTCCTGACCAACCAAAAACAAGTGTTGTGTGATTCTGCTAGGGTCCTGACCAACCAATAACAAGTGTTGTGTGATTCTGCTAGGGTCTTGACCAACCAATAACAAGTGTTGTGTGATTCTGCTAGGCATCTGATAGAGCTGTTACCTGCAGGCAGTGCCTTCTCCCAGAAAGTTCTCTCTTCTGATCTGGTGAGCCATTTTAACAGAGCTGAAGTAGAGGAGCTAGCCACCGACGATGTGGACAGCAACAACCAGTATCTGCTCGATGTCGGCATGGAAGACGCCACGGCCATGACCAACTTTCCTTCCACTAGAGGTATATTCATTGCTTCTTGTTTATTGTTGGGCTTGATCTGAGTTATATTTAATGATGTCTTTCTTGTAATTGATTAACTAACATTGTTCTATGTCTGATACTGAACATTTAGAACAGTGACTGTAGCTTCTGAGGGATCAAGGTTTATGTGGATCATCATGAAACTCACACAGGGTCTGTAGTGGATAGGGTTTTATTGCAAAGATGAATGGACACTGGGGGAAAAACAACCTGCATATAACGTCACCTCATCCTGTGTGAGCATGGAAATGTAGGCAGCAATGGCAGCTCTCTGATGGCTTGAGAGCAGCCCTGCCTGACATCACAGATTCACAGAACATTCTTTGGAAAATGTCAACTGGCATCCTATGCAAGAGGATATCCCTTGATAAGACTTGGATCAGGAGCATGTCTTGTGCTTTCTGTGTAGGATGTTCAAGTGAGCCGACTGATAGATTGGCTGCTGCCACTCCTCTGTGTGATGAGCTTTTTATCATAAAGCAGAAGCTGTAAATGGTCTCCAAAATCAAATGGACAGTGCCATAGAGCAGATAGGCAATCTATACATTAAAAAAAAAACACCCCAATTCAACTTCGGTTGAGTAGAGGTTTTGTAAAATATTTAACACTGAGGGAAAAACAGAGACATGCTTGTAATCAGGCATCAGCTGTTAGTGTGTTGACTCTTCATTGGCTGCTGAGAAGGGAGACAGAGTGTGTATGAGAATGTCCCATATGCAGTGGTTCAGTTTTCAGTTCATTCATTTAAATGTTCTGAAGTGTATGGGTAAGATAATTGACGTCACTGCACCAAGTGTATAAGTGAGATAATTGACGTCACTGCACCAAGTGTATGAGTGAGATAATTGATGTCACTGCACCAAGTGTATGGATGAGATAATTGACATCACTGCACCAAGTGTATGAGTGAGATAATTGACGTCACTGCACCAAGTGTATGTGTGAGATAATTGACGTCACTGCACCAAGTGTATAGGTGAGATAATTGATGTCACTGCACCAAGTGTATGGGTGAGATAATTGATGTCACTGCACCAAGTGTATGTGTGAGATAATTGACGTCACTGCACCAAGTGTATGTGTAAGATAATTGACGTCACTGCACCAAGTGTATGAGTGAGATAATTGACGTCACTGCACCAAGTGTATGAGTGAGATAATTGATGTCACTGCACCAAGTGTATGAGTGAGATAATTGATGTCACTGCACCAAGTGTATGTGTGAGATAATTGACATCACTGCACCAAGTGTATGAGTGAGATAATTGACATCCCTGCACCAAGTGTATGAGTGAGATAATTGATGTCACTGCACCAAGTGTATGTGTGAGATAATTGATGTCACTGCACCAAGTGTATGTGTGAAATAATTGACGTCACTGCACAAAGTGTGTGTGTGAGATAATTGATGTCACTGCACCAAGTGTATAGGTGAGATAATTGATGTCACTGCACCAAGTGTATGGGTGAGATAATTGATGTCACTGCACCAAGTGTATGGGTGAGATAATTGATGTCACTGCACCAAGTGTATGGGTGAGATAATTGACGTCACTGCACCAAGTGTATGTGTGAGATAATTGATGTCACTGCACCAAGTGTATGGGTGAGATAATTGATGTCACTGCACCAAGTGTATGGGTGAGATAATTGACATCACTGCACCAAGTGTATGGGTGAGATAATTGACATCACTGCACCAAGTGTATGGGTGAGATAATTGACGTCACTGCACCAAGTGTATGTGTGAGATAATTGACGCCACTGCACCAAGTGTATGTGTGAGATAATTGACATCACTGCACCAAGTGTATAGGTGAGATAATTGATGTCACTGCACCAAGTGTATAGGTGAGATAATTGATGTCACTGCACCAAGTGTATAGGTGAGATAATTAATGTCACTGCACCAAGTGTATGAGTGAGATAATTGACATCACTGCACCAAGTGTATGAGTGAGATAATTGACGTCACTGCACCAAGTGTATGTGTGAGATAATTGATGTCACTGCACCAAGTGTATGGGTGAGATAATTGATGTCACTGCACCAAGTGTATGGGTGAGATAATTGACGTCACTGCACCAAGTGTATGGGTGAGATAATTGACGTCACTGCACCAAGTGTATGTGTGATATAATTGATGTCACTGCACCAAGTGTATGTGTGATATAATTGACGTCACTGCACCAAGTGTATGGGTGAGATAATTGACGTCACTGCACCAAGTGTATGGGTGAGATAATTGATGTCACTGCACCAAGTGTATGGGTGAGATAATTGACGTCACTGCACCTAGTGTATGGGTGAGATAATTGACGTCACTGCACCAAGTGTATGGGTGAGATAATTGACGTCACTGCACCAAGTGTATGGGTGAGATAATTGATGTCACTGCACCAAGTGTATAGGTGAGATAATTGATGTCACTGCACCAAGTGTATAGGTGAGATAATTGATGTCACTGCACCAAGTGTATAGGTGAGATAATTGACGTCACTGCACCAAGTGTATAGGTGAGATAATTGACGTCACTGCACCAAGTGTATGGGTGAGATAATTGATGTCACTGCACCAAGTGTATGAGTGAGATAATTGATGTCACTGCAGCCAGTGTGTCATGCTCATTGTGAGATGAATTGATGTCACTGCACCAGAGTGTATAGGTGATATAAAAAACTTGATGTCACTGCACACAAGTGTATGGGTGATATCTCCACATTGATGTCACTGAACACTACAAGTGTAAATGGGTGAGATAATTGATGTCACTGCACCAATGTGTATAGGTGAGATAATTGACGTCACTGCACCAAGTGTATGGGTGAGATAATTGATGTCACTGCACCAAGTGTATGGGTGAGATAATTGATGTCACTGCACCAAGTGTATGTGGTGAGATAATTGATGTCACTGCACCAAGTGTATGGGTGAGATAATTGATGTCACTGCACCAAGTGTATGGGTGAGATAATTGATGTCACTGCACCAAGTGTATGGGTGAGATAATTGACGTCACTGCACCAAGTGTATAGGTGAGATAATTGACGTCACTGCACCAAGTGTATGGGTGAGATAATTGACGTCACTGCACCAAGTGTATGGGTGAGATAATTGACGTCACTGCACCAAGTGTATGAGTGAGATAATTGATGTCACTGCACCAAGTGTATGGGTGAGATAATTGATGTCACTGCACCAAGTGTATGTGTGAGATAATTGATGTCACTGCACCAAGTGTATGTGTGAGATAATTGATGTCACTGCACCAAGTGTATGGGTGAGATAATTGATGTCACTGCACCAAGTGTATGGGTGAGATAATTGATGTCACTGCACCAAGTGTATGGGTGAGATAATTGATGTCACTGCACCAAGTGTATGGGTGAGATAATTGATGTCACTGCACCAAGTGTATGGGTGAGATAATTGATGTCACTGCACCAAGTGTATGGGTGAGATAATTGATGTCACTGCACCAAGTGTATGGGTGAGATAATTGATGTCACTGCACCAAGTGTATGGGTGAGATAATTGATGTCACTGCACCAAGTGTATGAGTGAGATAATTGATGTCACTGCACCAAGTGTATGGGTGAGATAATTGATGTCACTGCACCAAGTGTATGGGTGAGATAATTGATGTCACTGCACCAAGTGTATGAGTGAGATAATTGATGTCACTGCACCAAGTGTATGAGTGAGATAATTGACGTCACTGCACCAAGTGTATGAGTGAGATAATTGACGTCACTGCACCAAGTGTATGTGTGAGATAATTGATGTCACTGCACCAAGTGTATGTGTGAGATAATTGATGTCACTGCACCAAGTGTATGTGTGAGATAATTGATGTCACTGCACCAAGTGTATGGGTGAGATAATTGATGTCACTGCACCAAGTGTATGTGTGAGATAATTGACGTCACTGCACCAAGTGTATGTGTGAGATAATTGATGTCACTGCACCAAGTGTATGTGTGAGATAATTGATGTCACTGCACCAAGTGTATGGGTGAGATAATTGATGTCACTGCACCAAGTGTATGTGTGAGATAATTGATGTCACTGCACCAAGTGTATGTGTGAGATAATTGATATCACTGCACCAAGTGTATGTGTGAGATAATTGATGTCACTGCACCAAGTGTATGGGTGATATAATTGATGTCACTGCACCAAGTGTATGGGTGAGATAATTGATGTCACTGCACCAAGTGTATGTGTGAGATAATTGATGTCACTGCACCAAGTGTATAGGTGAGATCATTGACGTCACTGCACCAAGTGTATAGGTGAGATCATGTCAGGTGTGGGTAGAGAGATGTCAGGTGTGGGTAGATAGATGTCAAGTGTGGGTAAAGAGATGTCAGGTGTGTGTAGAAAGATACCAGGTGTGTGTAGAGCGATGTCAAGTGTGTGCAGAGAGATGTCAGGTGTGTGTGGAGATGTCAAGTGAAACATTATGAAGATGATTTAATCTTCATCCTTGTGCCCCCACTTGTAGAGTCATCCTACAACGTCAGCGATGTGGAAGGCCAGTTGTTGACTGTCTACGACCCAAGGCTCATCAAGGATATACTTCTGGAGTTGTACGATAACAGAGGACTCAATGCAATGCAGATTATCTCCCTTAATGATAAGGTATGAAATCTGTAACTCTTTTACTGTAAAGTACGAATTATTTTAATGTTTGGTCAATTGGCCTGTCCTCTTAAATCTTATATCGAAAGGTTTATATTATCGTTATGAGAATGAATCCTTAAATTCATGCCAAAACAGCTCTCACATGGACAGCAGAGGGAAAGAGAAAGAAGGCGTGCCCAAAAACAACATGGAGAAGCACAATGAAGAGTGACCTTAAAGCGGCATCTCTGACATGGAAAACTGCACTAAAGATTGACAGGAAAGCATGGAAAGTCTTTTCTGAAGCCTCATGTGCCACTAGGCATGAAGAGAACTGATGACAGTATACTGTCAGACTAACAGTTCTGATGGAATGAGTTAATGTAGCTGTTTGAGGTGGAAGGCAATCTGCTGTATTTGAACTAACAAATGAATGTAGGGGGCAGTTACATGACCCCAGCAGAGTTCATGTTGATGACTTACATTAATTATATGACCCCAGCAGAATTCATGTTGATGACCTACCTTAATTACCTTTGGCAGTTGTGGGACCCTGTTTGGGAAGCTGGAGGGAATAGCATGTTGTACAAGGTGATTTAGAGATTTGCTGAAATTGGATATATTGTGCTGAAAGGAGCAAATATCACAACCTGGCTGTTAACCACAACACGACATGCTAACAATCCTTGTAAAGGAGGATGAGAAATCTCCTTAATGTAGGATCAGCTGATGTTAATTACAGTTAATGACTTCTCTGCCTTTTGGCTAAGATCTTAAATCTGACTCTATGGAAAACATCTTCAGCATTCTGAGTCCTTCAAGTCGAATGCTGCAGATATGGCCTGCCTCCATTCATGATTGCAGCAGATATGGCCTGCCTCCGTTCATCATTATGACTTATCTTTTCTTTCCAAGTGTTTGTAAAGTTTCCATACAATACCTGTTCCAAATCTGGAAAGTCCTATAGCCTTCCAGGGTCATTGTTCATTTAAATCTGTCATATTTTGAGGCTTACGTGTCTGTTTATGTCAGATTGTGAGGCTTACGTGTCTGTTTATGTCAGATTGTGAGGCTTACGTGTCTGTTTATGTCAGATTGTGAGGCTTACGTGTCTGTTTATGTCAGATTGTGAGGCTTACGTGTCTGTTTATGTCAGATTTGGAGGCTTACGTGTCTGTTTATGTCAGATTTGGAGGCTTACGTGTCTGTTTATGGCCAGCTGAGCTTTCACTAATGTAGACACTAGCCTGCCAGCCCGGTATCTTGGGTTCAAATCTGCACCATGGCAGTTTTTTATTTTTCTTGAAGTTGACCTTAGCTCCCAGGTCAGAGGTCAGCCCACTTGAAAATTGGTACCAGACAAATCATGTCCTGGGTAGTAACTGTGGCTTCTTCTTCTTCATGTTCACCAGCTGTAAACTCTTGCGGAAAGTTCTGGTTGTTTGTCCACTTCTGGACTGTAGTCCAGTTACAGAACTTGAGTGTTGCGTGTGCATCCATTTTACAGATCTGACTCATCTGTATGCAGACTGTTGGTTCCTTGCCTCTCAGGCAGATGCACTCTGACTTCGAAGAAAGCTCATAATTAATCGACTCTTACGACATGCTTTTGGGTAGGCAGTGGGTCTGTTCTTGTTTTCCCTATAATAGGGCCCTAGAACCCACACGGGGAGCAACTGTGGCTGACGTGGTGGTTGACTAGTCCAGCATCTTGTGTCTGATGTCCCACTATCGCATGAGAAAAACAGGTCCTTGACTGGACTGACTGTTTTTGTAGTTGATCTGTTGTCTGTTTGTAATGATATTATCTCTCTTTCAGTGGAAAGTGCCTAAGGAGCTGAAACAACTTCTGGAGTCAAATAACACTGATAAACTAAGAGAATTTGACAAAATCTACTTGTACGTGTTGATTGCTAAAGCTCGTCACTGCATGGATTTGAGAGTAAGTATTGCCTGTTTTGTTTGACTGTTTTGCGTACAGTGTGTGTAGTGCTTCTTGTAGCTACGAAATGCAGCGGGCAGGATGCTTAGTGTGTTACAACACGACAGTTCAAATTTGTTTCAAATTACCCTACAGGCGCAATAACATTTTACCAGCTACTAACATTTGGAATCATAAAACTTGACAGGTTGCCTAACTATGCCAATAAAATTGACTGATCCTCATAATACTGGACAGGATTATAAAATAGAGGTTTCTATTCTCTGGGTCTTTTTCTAAAGACTCATAAGATTCTCTTCATAAATTTGTAATAAGGTTTTGTCTCTTTTAGTCTGTGTAAGTGCATCAGATTACAAGGCTTAGAGACCTGTTTCATGACAGAACTATGTTTTTTCACAGGTCTGCCCCATGCCCCCAGCCTGAAGAACCATGGTTCTGTTCTCTAGTCTTTTACTGTGTGTTGATTTGGGAGGCCATGATGGTGGCTACTCTAGCAGTTTAGCTCTTATGCTACACAATTATCGTAGCACAGTTGATGCTACTCTAGCAGTATAGCTCTTATGCTACACAATTATCGTAGCACAGTTGATGCTACTCTAGCAGTATAGCTCTTATGCTACACAATTATCGTAGCACGGTTGATGCTACTCTAGCAGTATAGCTCTTATGCTACACAATTATCGTAGCACGGTTGATGCTACTCTAGCAGTATAGATCTTATGCTACACAATTATCGTAGCACAGTTGATGCTACTCTAGCAGTATAGCTCTTATGCTACACAATTATCGTAGCACAGTTGATGCTACTCTAGCAGTATAGCTCTTATGCTACACAATTATCGTAGCACAGTTGATGCTACTCTAGCAACATAGCTCTTATGCTACACAATTATCGTAGCACAGTTGATGCTACTCTAGCAACATAGCTCTTATGCTACACAATTATCATAGCACGGTTGATGCTACTCTAGCAGTATAGCTCTTATGCTACACAATTATCGTAGCACAGTTGATGCTACTCTAGCAACATAGCTCTTATGCTACACAATTATCGTAGCACGGTTGATGCTACTCTAGCAGTATAGCTCTTATGCTACACAATTATCGTAGCACAGTTGATGCTACTCTAGCAACATAGCTCTTATGCTACACAATTATCGTAGCACGGTTGATGCTACTCTAGCAGTATAGCTCTTATGCTACACAATTATCGTAGCACAGTTGATGCTACTCTAGCAACATAGCTCTTATGCTACACAATTATCGTAGCACGGTTGATGCTACTCTAGCAGTATAGATCTTATGCTACACAATTATCGTAGCACAGTTGATGCTACTCTAGCAACATAGCTTTTATGCTTCACAATTATAGAAGCACAATTGATTGATTTTAAAAGATCAAGTATTTTGACATTCGTGGGGTGGATATTTATTCAAATTCAGCATCTTGTCAGTACAGTTTATTCCAATGAAAGTCTTTTGATTTTGATGGATGGCGTGAATATTTCTTCAGATTTATGAGAGAGCACGTCAGTTGTTGCGGATGGTGGAGTCCATCTTGTCAGATGTATCATTTGTGGCAGCTCGGCAGTCCAGCTGGCAGGTATTGCTAATGGAGCTCAACCAGTTTGATTTCAAACACGTGGTCAGCGATGGCCAGAACCTGCCCAGTCTGATCCTGCAGTGCAAACAGTGTTTAACCGTCATCAGGCTTGGCCAAGGTGAGTTAGGATTGTGCTGTATTTCCTCATGTCATCAGGCTTGGCCAAGGTGAGTGAGGGTTGTTCTGTATTTCCTCATGTCATCAGGCATGGCCAAGGTGAGTCATGGTTGTGCTGTATTTCCTCATGTCATCAGGCTTGGCCAAGGTGAGTCATGGTTGTGCTGTATTTCCTCATGTCATCAGGCTTGGCTAAGGTGAGTGAGGGTTGTCTGTATTTCCTCATGTCATCAGGCTTGGCCAAGGTGAGTCATGGTTGTGCTGTATTTCCTCGTGTCATCAGGCTTGGCCAAGGTGAGTCATGGTTGTGCTGTATTTCCTCATGTCATCAGGCTTGGCCAAGGTGAGTCATGGTTGTGCTGTATTTCCTCATGTCATCAGGCATGGCCAAGGTGAGTCAGGGTTGTGCTGTATTTCCTTATGTCATCAGGCTTGGCCAAGGTGAGTCAGGGTTGTGCTGTAGTTCCTCATGTCATCAGGTTTGGCCAAGGTGAGTCAGGGTTGTGCTGTATTTCCTCATGTCATCAGGCATGGCCAAGGTGAGTGAGGATTGTGCTGTATTTCCTCATGTCATCAGGCTTGGCCAAGGTGAGTCAGGGTTGTGCTGTATTTCCTCATGTCATCAGGCATGGCCAAGGTGAGTGAGGATTGTGCTGTATTTCCTCATGTCATCAGGTTTGGCCAAGGTAAGTGAGGATTGTGCTGTAGTTCCTCATGTCATCAAGCTTGGCCAAGGTGAGTCATGGTTGTGCTGTAGTTCCTCATGTCATCAGGCTTGGCCAAGGTGAGTCAGGATTGTGCTGTAGTTTCTCATGTCATCAGGTTTGGCCAAGGTGAGTCATGGTTGTGCTGTATTTCCTCATGTCATCAGGTTTGGCCAAAGTGAGTTAGGGTTGTGCTGTAGTTCCTCATGTCATCAGGCTTGGCCAAAGTGAGTTAGGGTTGTGCTGTAGTTCCTCATGTCATCAGGCTTGGCCAAGGTGAGTTAGAATTGTGCTGTATTTCCTCATGTCATCAGGCTTGGCCAAAGTGAGTTAGGGTTGTGCTGTAGTTTCTCATGTCACATGATCCCCCATATGGGTTCTGGTGGAAAACAATTTGGAGAAGTGGGAGGCGGGGTTGAACAGACTCACTGTTTCCTAACAATCATGTCATAAACAGAAGTTTGCTGACGCCAGATGTGTTGTGTGAGCCTTAAGGAGAAACCTAGATGTCAACCACAAAACAGTGTGCCAGTTGCAGTTGTAAGGACAAATACAGAAGAAGAAGAAAGATTAGGTCACCTTGTTTATAAACAAATATGCAAATGATCAGTAGGTGGCTTACTCTGGTTATATTTCTGTAGTCTATAATCAATCAAATATATACAGAAATTTGCAGTTAGTCAGCACAGGGTTTTCTGTTATTATATTTCTGTAGTCTCTAATGTATACAATATAAATAATAATATGTATATATAACATGCAGCTGTTGTGGTTATATTTGCTCTATAACTGTGTTGTTGCAGAGATCACCCCGAGTGTTGAGCTGGTGGAGCACTGCTTGTGCTTTCCTGTGCAACATGGCAGAGTGGCAGTATCTCTCTGACCTCACTAACACAGCTGATGGCTTTATTGAGGTATCTGCATTTTCTATTCTTAGTTGGGTACTCTTCATTCCTTCTTGTAGCAGATTTTTTAATGCCCACTTTGCAATCCTTGGCTAAGAGGTTAGTGAATGAGTTTAACAGTTTCATGATCCTCAGGTACTGGCGTTTGTTGTCATGGCAGATGGTTATTAAAAAAAAAACTATTCTTACAGCTTTTGTGCAGTAGTAGAAGAGTCAGACAGTTGAAGAGGTTGGGACCTAACCAGAGGATATTGCCAAAGACTGGTGCGCTGTAGCCAATCTTTGTTGTGGAGATGGCACAGAAAGTGGCTCTCTGGACTTGAAGTTAGTTTTGTTGAAACCATGGATCAACACCAGGGCACAAGGGCTAACCCAAAAGAGCTGCAAATTTTGCTCGGACAGTGCCATTAGACTTCCCTTTTCAGTTTCCAACTGCCAAGGGATTTTGTTACGTGCACAACAGTACTCTCACTACCCAGAGACCAGGGAAAATTACTAAAAGTTCACGTGAAAAAACCCAGCCTTCACTGGGCCTTGAATCAGGATTTGTTTATATTTTAACAAGAGGACATAATCTATCTTCTTCTTTATTGTGGGGTGAGTGTCCTGTTGACAGTGAAATACTGAAAACCTGCGGAGGACACGTAACCAGCTTAGGCCTTAATCTTGGCTAGTTGTTATGCCATCAGTGAGGACCATCATGGCAGCACTCCAGGCAGATCCATAGATGCTCTCATGTGCTCCTCAGTAATCCCACAAGACTGATTGTGCCCATTTTATGTTGATAAATCAGACATCTTGTCCCCTTAGTAAACTGTTTATGCCAGGCAGCACCTCAGTATACACCAGCGTGGACAGGGATACAGAGTCTTGCTTCTTCACTATGTGCATCTCACATGGCATAAGTGATATTACTCCTGCCCAGTGCCGGGCCCGGAATAGTAGCTGCTTGGCAGCTGGATGATCTGCATGTTTTTTGCTGTGAACACTTGCATTGGCAAGCACAAAGATAAAGCTTACATGATGTCAGCAACACTGTCAACTCTGGGATTTGACAAAGTAAGTGGGGACACAGACCCTCATGCCATCAATGTCTAGTGTACACACACATTTAGTGTTTAACCCCCAGTGTGTTTGTTCTCTCTTCAAGTTGTCCAGACTTCTGGCTGGCCTGGTCAGGGACATCCAGCTGAAGAAGAATGTCAGAAAACAAGCCCGCGACTTATGGGACGCCGTGTTGACCATTTACCAGCCAGGTACACTCTCTGATAAGACACTAAACCTGAAATATTTTGCTCTAATGTCAAATCAGTACTGCTGGTTGGAGGAGTATCACAGAGAACAACTAATATAACTACTCATAAACTGTAAACATTCGTAAGCTGGTACCAGCACAAAATAGATGGAGCTATATGGTATGGCAGAGTCACTAGTGTGGAGCTTTGGGGGATAACTCAACAAATTCCAATGAATCCAAAAGTGAGCACAAGATGTTGGATAGAATACATGTTGACATAACCTGGGAACTGTGTAACTGGAACCCACAAGGAAATAGAAATATAGGTTGACCCAAAAAAAAAGCAATTAGAGATTGAATGCAAATGATTGGTTGACTTGGTGTGAGCTGGGTGAATACCTATGCTCTATTGGGAGATCAAGGGCAGAAGAAGATTGTGATATGATACATGAAATGGTTAATGATTGGGTGTATATATTAGATTGTGACATCATGTGATCTGATACATGAAATGGTTAATGATTAGGTGTATATATTAGATTGTGACATCATGTGATCTGATACATGAAATGGTTAATGATTAGGTGTATATATTAGATTGTGACATCATGTGATCTGATACATGAAATGGTTAATGATTGGGTGTATATATTAGATTGTGACATCATGTGATATGATACATGAAATGGATAATGATTGGGTGTATATATTAGATTGTGACATCATGTGATCTGATATGTGAAACAGATGATGGTTTTGTGTAAATATTAGATTGTGACATCATGTGTTCTCCAACCATTAACTCCTGCCATAATAAAAGACTGATAAGAATCTTCTCTAATTGTCTTCGACCATCTCTCTATCTGTGTAAATCTGTCCCGTTGTCACTGGGTTCATGTAATACATAGTTATTAAGTAAACATTTGAAATTAAAACTCAACAGTCTATGTCTGCCTGTTACTGTTAATGCCCCTAATACTGGCTATATGAAATAAAAACTCAACAGTCTATGCCTGCCTGTCACTGTAAATGCCCCTAATACTGGCTATATGAAATAAAAACTCAACAGTTTATGCCTGCCTGTTACTGTAAATGCCTCTAATACTGGCTATATGAAATAAAAACTCAACAGTCTATGCCTGCCTATTACTGTTAATGCCCCTAATACTGGCTATATGAAATAAAAACTCAACAGTTTATGCCTGCCTGTTACTGTAAATGCCCCTAATACTGGCTATATGAAATAAAAACTCAACAGTTTATGCCTGCCTGTTACTGTAAATGCCCCTAATACTGGCTATATGAAATAAAAACTCAACAGTTTATGCCTGCCTGTTACTGTAAATGCCCTAATACTGCTATATGAAATAAAAACTCAACAGTCTATGCCTGCCTATTACTGTTTAATGCCCCCTAATACTGGCTATATGAAATAAAACTCAACAGTTTATGCCTGCCTGTTACTGTAAATGCCCCTAATACTGGCTATATGAAATAAAAACTCAACAGTTTATGCCTGCCTGTTACTGTAAAATGCCCCTAAATACTGGCTATATGAAATAAAAACCTCAACAGTCTATGCCTGCCTGTTACTGTTAATGCCCCTAATACTGGCTATATGAAAATAAAAACTCACAGTCTATGCCTGCCTGTTACTGTAAATGCCCCTAATACTGGCTATATGAAATAAAAAACTCAACAGTTTATGCCTGCCTGTTACTGTAAATGCCCCTATACTGGCTATATGAAATAAAACTCAACCAGTCTATGCCTGCCTATTACTGTTAATGCCCCCTAATACTGGCTATATGAAATAAAAACTCAACAGTTTATATGCCTGCCTGTTACTGTAAATGCCCCTAATACTGGCTATATGAAATAAAAACTCAACAGTTTATGCCTGCCTGTTACTGTAAATGCCCCTAATACTGGCTATATGAAATAAAAACTCAACAGTTTATGCCTGCCTGTTACTGTAAATGCCCCTAATACTGGCTATATGAAATAAAAACTCAACAGTCTATGCCTGCCTATTACTTGTTTTAATGCCCCTAATACTGGCTATATGAAATAAAAACTCAAAACAGTTTATGCCTGCCTGTTACTGTAAATGCCCCTAATACTGGCTATATGAAATAAAAACTCAACAGTTTATGCCTGCCTGTTACTGTAAATGCCCCTAATACTGGCTATATGAAATAAAAACTCAACAGTTTATGCCTGCCTGTTACTGTAAATGCCCCTAATACTGGCTATATGAAATAAAAACTCAACAGTCTATGCCTGCCTGTTACTGTTAATGCCCCTAATACTATGCTTTAGCTTTGCTATGCAGACGACACAATTGTTCTTTGAAACTGTAAATGGAATAGAACATTTAATCATGTCTGTCCACAAACACAGTCAGGATCAAAACCTATTCTTGAATTTAAAGAAAGAAAAATAATGTTAACAGAATAAATAAACTGTCTCTCACCCAGACATGACAATAAATGATGAAGAAATTAAAAATGTCCCAAACTTTGAATATCTAGGCTCGATAATAAACAGCAATATAGACTTTTTGACAGAAGCTAAAAACAAGGATGGCCACAGCAATACGAAGATTAAACAGCATTAAAAGAATGTGATTACAAGGAAAGCGAAGTTAACATTGTGAGAGCATGCATCTTCCCTGTAGCAACATACAGATATGAGCCTGGGACTTTCTCCCAGTTTAAGAAAGAAAATAGGGACTTTTGAATCAAAATGTTATAGAAAGATTCGCCACAATATAGCGGACAAAGAAGAACAGAAATGCTGACATACTCAAAGATCTGAACATCAAGGAAAATTGCCTGGTAAACAGCATCTCTTCTCAGAAGCTGAAATATTTTGGCCATGTAAAGTTTTACTCTGGATTGGAAAGAAAATAATAGCAGAAGGTATGGCAGCAAGAAGAAGGGACAGGGGCCAAACACCACGAATATGGTCACAAGGTATAAGTGATTCCTGGGACCTGCTACACAATGATGATACTGACTATCAGGCTTTGTTTTCTTTTCTTTTGCCATTTGTTAGCGCCGTAACAATCTTGAAACAATAACATTTGAAGAAAGTGCATTCAACAGTCACACAACATAATTATTCTCCAAAACTCTATGCCAGAGTAGTAGGGAAAAAAGAAGCAGAAACAATTTACAGTCTTGGTCAGTTAATGTAAAACTTCAGGGTGTTTAAACCTCTGACCACCGAGCACGCAGGCAAGCTTGCTAGCTACTGCAGTATAGCAGCACCCCAAGTCACACACATACATTGTTGAAGAAATCATTGGACCATTTTTTTTATATTGGTAGTTTTACCTTAAGGCAGGTCATCTCCATTAACATTGATAAATTGAGTAGCATTGTCTTCATCTTGCTATTGTTTGAGCTACTCTACACTTAACTTCTTTACTATATCTTGACACATTTGTGTAGTACATTATCACAGGTTTGTTGTCTACAACACTTAAACACCTGTATCTACATTATCACAGGTTTATTGTCTACATCACCTAAACACCTGTATGTAAATTAATACAGCTTTATTGTCTACATCACCTAAACACTTGTATGTAAATTAACACAGGTTTATTGTCTAAACACCTGTATCTATATTATCACAGGTAATTCAAAACGACCACCGACAGCTCACCCAAGTGCAGTCAGACGAGACCAACAGTTTGGGCTTCTTCCCCGGAGTTTCTTCACTAGCTTTTTGCAGAAAGTCATTGAGCCCAACATCCTCTCGGTCCTCATTTCACTGTTTACCAAGCTGTTCAGCATCTTGAAAGATGACATCAGCAGTGAGATATCCACAGACTACCTCCACTTGTGGCCAACCGCTCTCAGTGGCTCACTGGGCAATGTAGCTGTGGTGGAGGACACCCTCAAGATGTTGCTTTCTCATGGACTGGCTGTCCACCCCACTCAGCCATCATGGCTGCGCACACAAGCAGACATTTACTTTGTAGAAGGACAGCACTCAACAGCAATCAGATTCTATTTAGAAGCAGGCGTTGTGGCCACAGATTTTTTTACCTGCCCGGTTCCCCGTTCCATCTTCGATGATGTTGTCTACAGACGGTTGATCAAGTGTTGCTCGTATCTGCAGTGCCACACACAAGTGGCCGTTCTGTGCCAGTATCTGGATGAGCCTGACTACAGTACAGCATTCAAAGCCCTGCAGGAGAGAAATGTCTGTGATGCTATGGATTCTTACTACTCCTGCATATGGGATGTCAGCATCTTGGAGTTTCTGGTGCACATCCACACTCGTAAAGGGGAGATGGATAAACGACAGGCAGCTCTGCGGGCTTTAAGTCAGATGGACCTCAATTCTAACAACCCTGATCAGATACAGAAGAGGGCTGTTCATATCCGTAAGACAAAGTTTCTGCGTGCACTGGCAAAACAGTATCTTGGTTGAGATATCAAGAAGTATCTTAATAGTCCAGGGCACACTTACACCAGTCAAGGACAAGGACCTTTTTCCACACCTTCAGGCATATTAGGCTAGACCTATGTTTTATAGGGCATGCAGTGGGTGATGTGGTCTGCCACCTTTACTTCCCAGGAAAATACCTGGTACCTAGCAAGGCTTGGTCGACCTGGGAGCCAAAGTAAATTTTTTTTTGAAGTACACTTATGTCAGGAAATACCTGATTGGTCCAGTGCACTTTGCCAGATAGGGCTTCCAAGGCCATTTCTGGAACCATATTTTGGTTGGGATGTTTGTGTGTGAGTGGAGCATCTGGTAGACTGTGTCAACTTGTCAGGTCCGGTTTTGAAGTGCACTTGCAAAACAGCATCTTGGTCAAGACAACAAGGTGCACATGGGACAGATGAACAGCAAGCCGGGCAGACATGCAACTGTACAATTGATTGTTTGACAGATTTCGCTGCATCTTATGTTAATAAAAAAAAATAATTTGTTGCTTATGCTCTATCTGATGTTGCAAACAAACAAAACACACACATTTTTTTTTTCTGTCTGAGA